ACTGTATTACATAACATTTCATGTTTAATGTAAACGACTGAAAGGCTCTTTTGAATTTAATGTTTTTGCATATACATTGAACATGTAACTTATATGCGTCTTATACTGTATGAAAATGGTATTGCATGAACAATCATACGTTTAAATTTCATCGAGAATAGCAGTGTTACTGACAAGATCTATTGAGATGGCTGCACCCACTTAATGATAATAGATAATAAATGCAAGTGCCAATTAGATTACCATAATGTACTAGCAGACATTCCTATACATTAGTATAATTTAGTTTCTTTAAAATTAATTTAAAATAAATTTATGGTTTGTTTAAAATTAATTATTATTATTACGTATCTAATATGACAAAAAAAGTGTATTACAGAATTGTCTTCTGGCAAAAAAAAAAAACCGAGAAAAAATAAAATGAACCGTAACTTTTTAAATTGCAGTAAATTTTGTTCGAACTGTTGGGAATGGGGCGTAAAATTTTCAATTGAAATTTATTACCGCCATCGAGACGTTTGTGGAATACGTTTGTACAAAATATAAAAAGAAATATTTAGGTAACATTTGCGTATGCCAGATGGATAAAGAAGAATAATAAACGAGACTTAAGGCCTGATTTGTTTATTGTGTTCTACAATAATCCAATTTATATATCAGACCGTAATATAAATATATGTATATTTTTTGTATTTATTACGTATATTCCAACTGACTTATTAAAACTTGTTCTCAGTGATTCTGAATATGGTCACTTTAATCGAGTACTCATTAAACTCCCATTTGTCGAGATTAATTTACTCTTGGACAATCTCAACTCGACGTTCCACTTTTGTGTGTGACAAGCTAAATAAATTATTTCTGAAGTTAGTGAGTTCAGCTATGCCGAATTTAATTGCATTAAACATGGTTTATTTTCAATGTCATTAATACATTTTATTCATAATTTAGTTGGTCAGTGGGTATCCATGAGTGTTACGAAAAAAATATTTTTAAAAATTGAGGAAATTATAAGGAATATATTTTGGACCAAAATATTGATAAACATTGTTATAAGGACATAAAGTAAAAAAGCCTCAAGGAAAACAAAAGAATATATAAAATAATTAAATTATTTGGTCATGGGCGACCTATTTTAAAACAAATATATATTACTGAAATATCTAAAAATACAACTGAGAATGGATGATACGTGACGTTTTATATTATAAAAAACTTGAAAAATGTGCTGTTTAAACTCTCAAAACTTCTGTTTTCGTTATTTTATTAATAAAAATCGTGACGTTCTAGTCGATCATTATTTTTAATATCCCAGATTATCTTAAACTTTTTCTATCAAAATACTTTATTTGATTTCAGAGACGTAGAAAATTTGATCAGCATTATCGGAAATTGACGAGAAAATAGGAAGAGTCGTACAATAAAATTCTAATCCGTTTTGTATATCATAATCAAGATAGATTATCTTTATATTAAAGCTCATATTTAATCTAAAGATTCTAACTATTATATTACATGTAACTAAATTGCAATCAAAACAACACAAACAGCGATACATCCTTAAGTCAAACAGATAACGACCGCCCATCAACATCGGAACTTCGTACAAGTTGCTCAAGCCATTTATCAGTTATCAAACTTATAAGGTTTGTAAACACTTAATAGTATGATCTAATGTTACTATTATATCTTACATGTAATGAAAACCTCTCTTCATATATGTATGTATATATAATTATTACAAATATGTTATTACAGTTTGGTTTTTTGTACGAAATATAAAAAAATACATATATAAAAAAAAAATGTTATACTACTTTAAGATAGGTATTATTTATTGAAATGTTTAAATATCCTCTTGAAATGTGGTCTTTGCAAGCATATTCAACTTCTGGTTTAAAAGAAACTGTAGAAAAACTTACAAATTTAAGTGTTACATTCAACCGTTCTATCCTTTTTTGAATAATTAAAAACAAACTGAAGTCGAGAATATTAATAAATATGTGACATATGATTTATAAAAATACATACTTCATCCGTTTATCGTATTTCATTGTTATATTATATACCTAATACGATATCATGACTCATATTCATTTGACACTTGATTTTTTTTCACAATTACTCTCTAAGTTTCATGTACAATAATAAAACTTTAGATTAACAACTCATTTTATGTGTACAAAGCTACCGATTTCGAAGATCTCAATACTCAGTTTAATCGAACAGTCACTCATTAAAATCCCATTCAGCTTTAATGAAGGCTCGAACATCTCCACTTAACGTTATCCAACTGTTAGTGACATGCTGACTTTTATCCACATTAAAAGTTGAATGAGGTTGCTTGACATTATTGAAAAGTATGTATTTCTTTTATGTATGACTATTGTGAATCACGATAGTTTTTTCTTAGCAGTTGCATTCTAAATCTTAAATGGAACTCGTTGTCAACAAATCACTATGACATAGTTAATATTTTTAGCACAGGATACAATGGAGAAATTTATTAGCCAATAATTCCATTCAAATGTTTGGAGTCTGGCAATTTAAGCCTCACTTCAGTTTAGAACCAACGTAACTTGGAGAAAGTTTTGCTTGCATTATACATAAAAGTCGTCAACACCACGATCCTCGATATTCAAAGTTAGCCGCTCTGTGTTTAGCGATTTCGCTCGCTTACCGACGCTGCAAAAGTTTTAACAGTGTCACTCTCGTTTTAGAAACTTAAATTCTAAATACAAACCTCTATATGTTTATTCACACATAGTTTCCGTGCCAACTTTTTCGAGCTACCAAATCTGTTTACTTTTAAACATACATATAATAATTACACTGACACTGAACGTAACGCGGACACATGTTTTTGAAAACTGTCAATAATTTGCAATGAATTCATTGTTTTCTTGATTACAATTTTTGCGTTTTACATAAATGATATATAAACTAGTTAAAAAATGACTTGCATAATACGGAGTTAAAATTAATGAATTGAACTTTTAAATTAGTGTTTTAAGAATACCTAACCGAATTGAGGTACCTGTTACCAATATTTTTTCTTTATTACGATCCTTAAAATAATGACAGTTGACTAATTAAACAAGAGTTTAGTTCACGTTTATTCTTCTCTTTAGATAATTAATCAGAAGGTGTATTGTTTAAACATTATATTGCTTTACATCTCAAAAGGAATACAATATTACTAAATAAACTACACCATTTTTATTAAGGTTAACTTTACATACATTAAAAATTGGAAAATATTCATCTGTAAAATATGAGGTATGAAATTAATTTCAAACACAATGGTTGTTCAATGAGAATGATGTGTAAACAAAACAGTACCACAATATTTAGAAAAACTTCAAACAAATAATTGCAGTCTGAAATTTTGTATTGATAACTAATTTATGAAATATTTTCAAAATATGTCATTCTTTTTTGTTTTTTTTTTATGGGAAAAGAGGGCAACCAAGCAGACAGCCTACTTGATGGTAGGTACTTACCGTCGCCCATGGACATCCGCAACCTAGATTTGCGGATGTGTTGCCGCCCTTGATTGGGGAAAAGGAGGAAGAAAAGGTGGAAAATGGAGGGAAAGGAAAGCTTGGAAAAAGGGAAAGGGCAGCCGGCTCTCTGGCTCACCGGTCGAAACGCAGCCTTAAAAGACACCGATTTTCTGTGAGGGGGTGGTACTTCCCCGGTCGAGCCAGCCCATGTTCGAACTGTAGTAACTTGACCACAGCTAGACTCTACCGCCTCTAAATTTTATTCCTTAGTGAAATTTTTCAATAGCCGTAAATTATCTCTGTTGAAATTTGAATATTATGAAAGGAAATAAAAATCAGAATTAAATAAAATTTATTTAACAAAATATAATTTTCTTGCATAAATAACATTTGAAACCATAAAACAAAACTACTTCAATGAAGAAGCAGTGAATATAAATTTATTTGGAAATAAATAATAACCCATAAATGATTCCTTTTTAAACATCCTCTATTAATAAGGTCATTCACCCTGACAGAACGTTTTAAATTTTGTTTAATATTTTTAACTATTCGTCTCGAATTAAAAATTAATATGGATTACATTTAATAAAAATAATTGTATTTGACATCAAAGCACTTATTTTTAACAGATCTATTTTTCGTTAATACTTTTTATATACAGATAAACCCACTCTAGGAACGATAGCCTTTAAGATAAAATTTTAACAATGTACTAAGATCACTTACAACAAAGTTATAATGAGATAATATATTGTTAATGAGATTCATTTTTAAATCCACAGTTTCAGACTCATCTAATTCACAAAGCGACAAAAATCAAAATGAAAATACATTGACAGTAAGACGATCACGAAAACCCTTATTGGAGCAAAAGACGACATATTTCATAAATTTTAAGCTTTGTAAGTCCTTGTAACAGAAACTAAATCCTCAAAGTTTGATTGTAAGATCTGTGGGCTCGAGATAAGCCCCGATTGTAAGGTCAACTGTCAAACCCCTGCTTGTCGAAATTTAGTTACTTGTAGATTGGAGAACTATTTGGATATAATCCATTTGTTAAAATCTTGTCTCGATACAAGTAATGAGATTGACAGTTTTGGTTTTAAAATTAGTTACATTTATAGATATACAGTTCATCATATTAAAAGAATTGAGCTTTATCAATTAATATTATCTTTTTTGTTTCAGAAATCACATTTATTTATATTTTGATAAGAAAAGATATAGATTATCAAATAATTCTTTTTAGAAAAATCAGACTTGATAAATATAAATAAAACACTCGCTAAATGTTAATTTGGTTACAAAATTTCATTTATGGTAAACGTCTTTTACTTCCGCCATATGAACAATAAAATTACCATACTTTCTTTCTATATGTCGTACATAGATCGAACGGTCAAAAAATCTTAATCAATATTTAATATCAACAAAAAAGATGCACACATTTAATTCAATGTCTTCATGCTTATATAATGTAATGTGGTGTAACTATTCTGAATTTCCAAAATCTATACTATAAAGTGACATAAAATCTGACATCATGATAGCTGGTGGTTCAGATTCATTTCGATTAGCAGAAGTAGCGTCTACCAGCGGTATATCGTCCGATTTGAAAGTACTTCGTTTCCAGTGCCATCCAATTTTTATAGATATACCGCATATTAACAATCCGAAGACTACACCACCAATCCATATGGAGAGATAATTTTGTTGTATAACCATAACTTTAGTCCAATTGCTACAAACATACGAATAAGCCAACGTCGTTGAACACACTCTTACAAGATAAATATTTGCTTTATGAGATTTTACTGTGAGACTTGTTTCGTTGCCAAAAACGCACCAAACTTGAGGCAACAAATGACTCATGTCATTTAACTTAATATCTGGATAAATTTCAATTGTATATGACAATATAACTCCGTTGGATATTAACGGTGGATCCCAGTTCACGACTATTAACCCATTCTCTTCAGCACTTATATATGTAATAGAGGCTATATCAATGTTTTCTAACCTTAAAGTCCTCACTACCTCTCTAGCAGAACGGCTACACAAATCTTTAATACAAGCCCGTAGATGAAATCTATAATCTCTAAAAGGTGCTAATCCTCCAATTTGATAAACTTTTCTTGGAGCGGTAATGTCTAAGGACAGTGTTTTGATTAATCCTTTGATATTACTATTTTTAGGACGATCCACTTCTTTCTCGCAGCCTTTTATTGAATTGCATATGTCAAAATGCTCATCAACCATTGCACCAAAGGTGAAAGATGATAAGATACCGCACATACTTTCACAACCTTTTCCATAATTACGCGGTGGTCTCATAACTTTTGCGTGACGTGAATAATCAATTTCATCAATATCATTAAAATTTTGACAATAATCTCTTGTATTTATATGGCTTGGGTTCTTTTCTATTAAGTACACATCTAACTCGTATCTAGTAATGTGTCGTTCATAGTTTTTATGATTAACCCATCTCACTACAACTACGTCAGAGGAAGAAGCTACAAGTTCTGTAATGAATGGCGGCTCTGGCTTGCCAGGTGGGGTTGTAAAATTTACTATAGCACTGCGAGCGAGATGACGAGTTGAAGGTTCATACTTTTCTATACAAACAGCATACATCGAAGCCGGTTGGAGAGAGTAAAGAGGAACTTCAATAGGCCTATTTGAAGAATAGGAAACGCTTATAGCATTCCATTCAGATTCACTACACGCCTCTGGTACAATTGGGACTTTTGTATCGTGAGGTATTTCGATATATGAAATAGTATAAAACACGTCAGTTGCAGATTCACCATCGAAAGTGGCAACTGCAAACGTTTGATTCTTGACCTTAATTTTTAGACCCAAATTAACTTCTTTACAGCCCCCGCTATAACCATTGAGTCCCTGAGGTAAATCAATTTCATTGGGAGCCACCGGGAATAATGGCTTTAACTTTTCGATTTGACTCATACAAAGGATGGGGTTTCGGTAAAATCTCATTGAACCCTCGTTTATTTTAAGTTTTTTCGTAACTTCATCTGAAAATAGCATCTGAAGGTTTTGCATATCGTAAACGACTAAACTATACTTTCCATTTAATAATGTATTGCCCTTGATACTTTGGAGCGATGATAAAAAATCTAGTGAAGTAACTGAAATAGAACCATAAATTAGAATGTATCCAGAAACTTCTTTGATATTTTTCAAATAATATCTCAATTCATCCATCGCTCCGGGAACTGATCTAACGTGTATTGTTAATGAACCATTCACATAAACACACTTTTCTGTAGCTTGTATTGAAGCCAATGTTTGAATAATGAGGCTTTTACAAGTCTGGAAATATAAAAATAAATAAATTTTAAATTATAGGAATAATGAGTATGAGTAACATTTATATGAGGATTACCTTATCGCAATTAACGCAGGGTTTGCATGAGGTATTTCTTCCAATGGTTACCATTTCATAATTATACGGACACTTTTCCACACATGTATTATTGAATTCAAATCTATTTAAATGTTTACATTCGTCAACTGTCACGCAATAATTGCTCTCCGTTAATATTATACTGAAATTAAAAAAAAATGAATAATATAAGGGCTCGTCATATTTAAATACAATTTCTTTAGTATTATTACAGTTCACGGTTTCAAGGAGGTTTGTACATACGTATTGTTAGGGCAGTGGTTCACGCATGTATTATTGATGGTGTAGTTTCTACACAATGTGCAGCTCTTCGGGTTGGTCTTACGACATCCAAAACAATTCACATCACAAACTTCTGCATCCGGACCCTCAAGGAACCGCTGGCATTTCCTATATTTGAATATATTAAAAATATTTTAACCCATCTTTAACGAAAACAACAAATATATATATACATATATGTATATATATAAATTGAGGATAATAATGTGAAATCTTCTTATAACTAAAAGTATCAAAATAACTTTTATTTTAATATTTACTTTCGAATAATTAAGATTCTAAAAGATCATCAAATTTGGGATATTATCCGTTCCTAAGAAAATTTCTAATTTTGACTTCGATGTTGATTTTCGTCGTTGCTTTATTAATATAAATATAATATATTTTGATACAAACTTTACTTAGCCCTATTCATTCTGTTTATCTTTTAACAAACAGTTGTAAATAATCTTTGAGTCCTCACTTCATTATAGACGGTCCTCAATCTTATTTACTCATGAACTTGAAATTAATATTTACGTCGGCTTACAGTCAATAATAAAGCTAAAGACATAATTAAAAATATTGAATAGTATTAATTTACTTTCCCTTTTCTTAGTAACAAAAATTATATCATATATCGTCACTCTCTAAGTGAATGAGAGTATAGAAATCTTACTTATTATTCCAGCAGCGATTTGAGGCAGCGTTTCTTGTACAAGTGCAAACAAACATGCATCGTGTTCCTTTGTCTGGTATGCTGAGGACGTGACGAGATCTTGGAGCAATAACGTTCCAGTCAATGGAATCAATGAAGCAAGTCAGTTTACCGCCCCATATAATGACACCGCCTCTATCGATTTTGAGAAGGTTGTAGAAACCTATCTGAAATTAAACATATATATACATACATACATTCATATATATACTCGTATATATATCAGTGTATCTATAACAGATAAATATTGTATGTTTTTTATAAGTTTCCTTCGGTTTGGTATGAAAAATAAAAATAAATCGTCGCTAAATAAAAAGTAAAATGAAAAAGCCGTAATGAAGCTTTTGATAGTTTAATTGTAAATTATGGCAATTATAACAACTTAACAGAACGACGGGCTCGTTATAAATTATTTCACTTGTCTCCTGAATAGAAATTTAAAATAAGATAAATAATAAAACGTGATCCAAGACACCCAGAATTATAAAGAGTCATTTACAAAGAATATATTTTTCCATTCAAAGAATAAATTAATTTACTTTAAACTTATTTACATAATTCTAGAGGACGCTTGAATAATTTATTTTAGATTCATGCCTCATTTTATAAATCAACAAAATGTTTTATATAATTTACTATTTTCATGATGAATACGAGCAAGATATTTGGTAATCAACAAAATTACAGTAATTAGACGCGATGGATTTGAATGACGTTAATTAAGTCGGCTCACTTAATTAAAATAGGATAAGATAGATAGTGTTAATTAATAAAGATTTCAAATGAAAGACTAACCTCTCTCAGACGCGGCATGTCATAAACAATGAGCGCGTAGTTATATAGAAGCGTGTTACCGCGGATTCTCGCTAAATTCGGAAAGAGGTCCCCTAGAGACTCCAATCCCGACACTCGGTAAACAACCATAAATCCTGTAACCTAAATGTATAACATAAATTATTTCAAAGCATTCATAATCATCGTTGCAAAATTCATAACGTAAACAAGAGAGATCAATTTACATTTCATAAATCGCCTCGCAACATATGTTTGTATTCTTTATGTTTTAAGAGTTATTATGAAAAGAATTTATTCATATTCTATTGACTGCAACGGTATTGTCACATTCAACAAACTTAAATTATATGACATAGCTTTCTTTTTGTGTTAAATATGAGTTTTATTTTGTGTATATAAAATATCTTTACCTCTTTTAAGCTAGGAAAACTTATATCCCGAAAGTCTTTTGGTTTGGTTCTCTCTAGAAGTGTTATTATTAAGTCCCCAACAACAACTGTGCAGTTTTGTATTTTTTTTATATTTGCCATTCTATTTACGAAGATGCTCGTACATATTCCATGATATTCTCTCGGTGCCTCTATATGTAACTCTCCATAACAACTTAACAATCCAATCGCGAAGAAAATTAACCTGTTTATATAAATCGGAGATTTGTTTAATATATCCAATAAACAACTTAATTTAAATTATTTATATAAAAATATATAATTAATTGAATGTCAAATATTAAACTAAAGCAAGAAATTAAAAACATTGCTCTTATTATAGGAACAATAAATATCATTACTACCGACATTTTTCAACTCATATATACTATTGTAACAAGGGGAATCGTAAAACAGCGTATTTTAAATTCATAACGCTGAGAAAGGTATCAAAACATCAAATATTTATTTAGAGAAAGGAAATCTTCACTACATTCTGTTCAAGGGGTTTTATCCTTCCTCAAACGATATATTAAGTTCCATGACATAGATAACTTTGACCCATGTCAAAAACGCGAAATGTATCCGCTTAAGAAGTTACTACCGAAACTTTCATTTGCCGCCGGATGACATGTGATTATATCACTATTTTTCTGTTTATTTAATGTAAAAAACTTTTAGTCTTTTAGTTCTGATCGTAATGCAGACGACACTCGTCTAAGTTTTGGCTTAGTTAATAGGTTTAGTTAATATACCTTAGTTAGTTTTTAAAAAGGAAGTATTCGGAACAACTTGGAAATATTACTGAAATACACATACAATACATGTAATACATTTTATTATTAATAAGTCAGCGGAAGTTATATACGCTTGTTATCACTTCATTAAAGCGAATTATTTATAATTAGGTCTGTAACAAATTAAATTAAATTTTGCTTGAAATGAAAATTTAATTTTTAAAGTATTCTAGATAAGAATATATTTTGATATAAAACTAGAGTGTTATTTAAAATAAAAATCCATTCAAAGACAAAGGGATTTTAGAGAATGGTAATGTTGTACTTAGAATTAATTTACGAAAGGGTCACTAAAAGACCCAGATTTAAAAGAGAGTATGCACCTTTAATTAAATAAGGTTTTATTTAAACATAGAATTAACAGCTAGCAAGTTATTGTCTTAGAAGCTTATTCTTTACGTTAAATATAAAAATCTTTTAAAAGTTATGGGATACTGTTCACGTTTAAAAAAAAGGTTAAATAAACCGTAATTCAAAATATATATGATTTTATAATACTAAGAATAAATGATAAATTCACCTAATGATAACTTCCTTAACTTCATTATGAAAAAAGCAGAAGCATACATTAAACTATTCAAAATATGTATTAAGGTAACAAAATAATGTTTTTAAATAACAGTTAAATAACGATTAAAATGTACCTCATTATTTAATATGTATGACTAAATTAAGACTTATTTTAACATAATATTTATAAAATAATTACCACATTAAAACAATTTTCGCCATGTCACCTTAAATTTCTTTGAACCAAATCTTTTGTATCTTTTAGATGTGCGGCGCGTTGTCTGCTTTGAGGGAGACGAGTTTAGAATTATTCTTCGTAAAACTCTTAAATACCATGCACTTGGGAAACACGACATTTTATTTTATATTCCATATCTCATAAGATGCATTTTTCTTAATATATTAAATACTGTAATTTCAATAGTTTTTCTTGTTTATGCGATTGAAATTGATTGAGATATGCACAGGTACATGAAATATCTTTTTTAAGTATGAATTTAATTGTGTGTTTTTTCACAAATATAGCTACACGTCAAAGTTAAATTTTATAAGTACATAGATATTGACAAATTTGTCGATGTCTTCAGATCACTGCACTTTATTAAAACTTTAACAATACATTTGGATTGTAAATAAGGAAAAAGTAACCGATTCTTTATAACAATACCGGCTATCAAAGTAAAGTCAACGTACAGACTGAATTCTAAAACAAGTGCAAATTATTTAATTATGCCCATAAAGATTCGATAGTCCCTTAATTCAAGAGCTCGACCCCAAAGGTTACGTATATAAGGTATGTTCCACAAAATAAAACAACAAAATTGATTTAATTTTTTTTATTTAATATCTTCTTAGTATATCATTAAGCTGTATATAAAATTTAATATAATTAACTACATTTATAGCATAGTAGAATAAAAGAGACTCTCAATAATAATAACTTTATTATATTTTATAATGTTAATAAGTGGTTAGTTTCGACGTAAGCTATATGTATCGTGTTTATCAATAAATGTAATTGTTAAAGGCAAGTGTATTTTTAGCCCAGTAATACCATATTTATATTTTCTATTTAGGCTCAAATCAAACTAAAAACGATTGCGCATGAAGATTTCTAAGTATGTATTATACAGGGAAACAATTTTCCACCGACTCGAATTTTCCGCCTTATGTTATTAATTTCGGAGTTTGATCTTGCTTTATTTCGCTTATGTTCCTTAATATTTCGACGTGGAGTATTGTAATAACACAGCCTGTATAAGAGGACCTACAGGTCAAGTGGACTTAACGAGTAATATTGCATTTTGTGCCGTTGGATGTTGTTAGTGCATATTTTTAATATCGCTTTGAAATTTTTAGGTTCAAAAATGTTATTGAAATTTAGTTTTCAAGTTTTAAAATTTATTATATGTAGTTTTGAAATAAATATTATTAACACATCAATACTAAGAAAACATATTTATTATTTAATAGAAGAAGTTTTACTTATGAAATTTATGGTGTTTTGTTGCATAACACACCGACAGAGGACTCTGTAGGTCCGTCTTTACTAAATGTATTTTTTTTAATTTTAGCGAGATTTTATATATTAGTCTTGTATGACTATTAACTTGAGCTTATCAAATCGATTTGGTACGTTTGTAAATAAAAATATATTTTAATTAAAAAACTGTTCTAAGCAAAACGATGTCCTACGGAAAAATACGAATGAAATACTAAGATAAAAAATAATAATATAAATATTTAAGAGGTGGTAGAGCCTAGCTGTGGTCAAGTTACTACAGCTCGAACATGGGCTGGCTCGACCGGGGAAGTACCACCCTCTCACAGAAAATCGGCGTGAAGTAGTCTTTAATGGCTGCGTTTCGTCCGGTGAGTGAGAGAGCCGGTTGCCCTTTCCCTTTTCCCACCCTGTCCTGCCCTTTCCTTTCCCTCCCTTTCCCACCTTTTGCTCCCCATTTTCCCCAAACAAGGGCGGCAACACATCTGCATACCTACGTTGCAGATGTCAATGGGCGACGGTAACTACCTACCATCAAGTAGGCCGTCTGCTCGGTTGCCCCTTTTGCCATAAAAAAATACATTTTTCCCATTATTCAGTAACAGACGTCGTTTAAGTATTACAGACTTTAATTATATTTAATATTCTTTTTAATTTGATATTAATATCAAAAATAAATATTGACTTTATAATTAATTTTAATGAAACACATGGAGCAAGTACACCACAAATATATATACATAAAGTTTTCATATGGAAAATGTAATTAATTGAAGTATGTACAGTTATTGTTTATGTTTTCGAAAAATTTAATTAAATTTATTCCCTTGATGAAATATACCTATGTATATATGAAGAAAGAATCAAAATTATTGACAGTTAGTAGCACTTTGAATTATATTTTACTTAAAAATAAATAGTTGGTAATCGAGACGATTTAATCACAGTTCCATAATATTGATAATATATCACGAAATTAAGATTGTAACGGTATCAGGATATAGCAATACGTTAGAACAATTTACCAGTCCACTTTTATAAAATATCTAATCATAGTCGAATAGTCCGATCGATTTATATAGTAAATTGTGGACAAATAAGAAATTCCCGCAAAACCAAATATTTATGTACTGCTGGGATTTTTTCCTCTTTGCGTCGGTTTCCTTAATGCCGTGACCGTGTTGAATAAACGTGTTTCTGGGGACAATATAGCACCATCAGTGGCTATCTTGTCCCGTGTACAATGCTTTGTGGACAGAGGAATCGAGAGCAGAGCGAACCTGGTCGGATCAGCACATCGGATTATGCCCCTTGCGTCTCCTTCCTTCAGCTATGCCTGTTATCATAAGCTTTTCTAGGATATCTTCCGTTTTTCTGGTAATAGCAAGCAGATGTTTGAAAGGCGCTTTGTAATTTTTCGTTCTTGTAGTGTAGATGGGTTGGTCCTGCGTGCTGTCTAAGGTATCCTGAGCATTCTACGCCGACACCACATCTCAAACGCATTAATACGGAGATGATAGTCAGCTTTCCTCAACGTCCATGTTTATAAGAAATGGAGAAGACCAAAGTGGTAACAAATCTGGTTTTTTGTTTTCCGAGAGATTTTTTCACATTCCGTTCGCATGAACCATTATTAAGTGAGCTAGGGTTTACCATTACAAATAAATTGATTCATGTATAGTGCAAATGCAATTCGGAGACAAAATATGAGGTTTCTTGGATTTGTCTCAAAAACAGCAAGTATTACGAAAAAAAAACCTCGAACCAAAGTTATAGATCTTAAAATATTCTACAAAAATGTCCCCTGTGATTTTATTCTTAATTGTTTAAATCTGTCAGATATCGTGATTCTGGCACATTATACGTTATGTGCCCACATTTCCACGCCATCTGTGAGATAATGTACTGGATTCGTTTTTTAACGTTATTTTCCCCTGTAGACCTACTTAAATAAATGACGTAACAGTTTAAGGATAATTTATAGGAACACCACCTGTCAAGATCTAGATATGATCTGATTATTGATATTGATTTTTGGGCTAACTCTTTCATTTTCTTAATTAATCTTCATCAATAGAAACCTAAAAATGTTGTAGTTTTATTTTAGAAAGCAAATTCTCCAAAACGAAAAGCTTAAACTCAAAAGTCAATAATCCTATGAACTGTTACTCCATCATTCATGACATTATAAAAGATTCGTAACAAAACACGATTTCTCAAGTTTAATTTATTGTAATTGAAAAGATGTGGCACAAAAAATAAATGGAGTGTAAATTTATGACCTGCTAAATTTGAAACACAAAGATTTCTCCAAAAAATACCTACCAAAATTTCTGAATTCCTAACCAAATGTCAGATTATTATTTGACATCAAAGCGACCAATTCCACAAAATGTTATTTCGTATTATGTAAGGACCTAAAATTTCAAATATTTAATAACTTTTACATATTACTATTCAAACAAAGAATCAATATACTAAAGGGAAAATTTGAAAAAGTTTCGCAACTAAAAGTTGTTTTTAACTTTAATTTTGAAAATATGATACGATTCTCAAAGTTGAAAGACAATTTTGTACTTCTCAGCATACAACTGTCCATTATAAGATTATACGTAGTTATTTTCTCAAACACTCTTAATAATTAGTAGGAGGAATATACGTAGAATTTTTTGTTTCAATTCAATCCGAATTACGACAATTATCTTATCCTTCTAAAATATTTATATTAAATATCCAAATACTCCTTACGGTGTGCTGACGATTTCAATCTAGTAAAGCAAATAAATCAAAGAATTAGAATGATCATCTATTTGGTGTCAATCCGTTAGAGTAAAACCATTTGGAATGTAGCCAAATGGCTTGACCGTGAGATTACACCTTTACAATTAGGAACATTAGATAGCAAGCGTGTAGTGTAGCGGTGACATTACAATGTCTATAATTATGACGGTCCCATCGTTTAAGGAAAACAGAACATGAATAACATTTACTGAACAAAGATGTGTTTCACAAACGTTATTCTGTTCATAACTCTCTTGGTAAGCCTAACTAAGCTATTCATGACAGAAACCAATCAAATGACAATGGTCTTCAGAGCGTAATTATTGTATCTGGGTATCTACTGAAATTTAGAGTTATTGTTTAGCAGGCACAGATTACAAACGATTCACATATAAAAAATAGTTATTCATTATGTGTATTACATTTTATTTTATGTATAAAAATCTAACAAGTTTAACTAATTATGAAATTATTTATAATAAAAAAATAAAATAAATATTTCCATTTAAGATTCGAATTTATATAAACTATATATTAAGCTTTATAAAAATTTTGTATGACATTTAAACTATACTAAAAATAAAATATATGTTAGAAAACATGCTACAATTAAATTCTCTGATAATTTAATAGTATGTAATTATCTTAATTTAATATTAAAAACAGGTCCTTAAACCTTATTAATTCTGTTTTATTATATTAATTTTCTTAATATAATTTTTATTAGCTAAGATCCCTTAAATTTTTTTTCACAAATAAACAATAATAAATTATCTAAATTTAAAATAGATTCCAAGTAAAATACAATTAACTAACTAATTTAACAATTTACTACTAACTAGCGTAAACAGGATTAAAACAAGGGATAACTTCAGAATGTTGTACTTTTAAAAGGAAGTTTTCGATGGATCACAAGATTTATAATCTACTTACGTCGATACAATTATTAGATTAGAATATTTATTTTCTATTATTAATTTAGTTTTAGTAGAACATATTAGCTAAGTATAGATTTAAAAATAGCGTTACAAGTCACATACAGTTTACTGTAAAAAAAATTAAATAACAAACATATAAGTTCTAAGAAATGACCACATTAAATATGCCATAGAACAAAAATATAGAATGAGTACACGCCCATATTTCTTAATTTAATTAGTTCTGCTCATATCAAATAGTAATTGAATGTTATATTCACATAATCAAACATTTTTTTCAAAACTATTAAATTAAAAATGTACAGAACCATAAAATAAATATGCCTACAGATGAACACGTTTTATTATTAAGCTTGTGATAATCTGATTAACAATGACAACCCCAAGAATGTCGTCATTGGCAAACCTCTTGTCAAAATCACAACCATCACGTCAAACTCATATGTTTATAAATAAATATAAGGATTTAGAAAATAATAATTATTAGGCCTAAGAATGTCTGGTATTAATAACAATGTTACCTTGTAAGTATAATACCTGTAAGCTTCATCTTTTTTTGATAAATAACCCACAGGTAGATTAAATTATCGAGGTAAAATCTATAAATTACTATATTTTCCTTCATATCTTTATGTTTTTTAGTTTTGTTTTGAAAATAGATTTCAAATAACATCTTCTGCTATAATAATTTATTATGATACTCATAATATATGTCAATAAATAAAATTCTTTAAAAATTTTAGAACCAACAAAAAGAAAAAAAAGAAACGCAAAAGGAAGTTTCTTCTTCCACAACCTAATCCACAAAATGCTATAGTAGATACACCAATGACAAGAATTGCAGCTTTATTCAAATTACAGCAACAATTAACAAATAAAAACAAACAAACATCTTATGATAGACCTCTGATGTCAGGTCCTAGATTCAGTCCCCATATGAAATGGGTTAACAAAAAATTTATGAATCCTCAAGCACAGATCCGCAATCCAACACCACAATCTACTCAACAGAATAGTGGTACACCGAATAAAAACGAAAATGAAAATCTTAATGAGGCAAACACTTTTAATAAGGAAATACCTCAAAATACATCTGCTCAAATCACTAACCAACTATCAGAGCCCATTGCATCATCAAGTTCGAATACTATGGTACAGGATTTTTCTGTATTTGATTCAAAAATGACTAATTTTAATCAAAATATGAACGCAAATTATAAATTTCATGACTGTGAAGTGTATGACAGTCCGTCATTCATCAACTTTGAATCAGAAGAAGGTGTGACTGATTTAAATGATGATGATATTTTCAACAAAAATGTAACAAATGTTGGAGGTGAAATGTGAGTATTTAAAATATTGCTACTGTGTATTTTACTTAAGTTTTATATCCAATAAGTTTCCAATACTTTAAGTCACACATTTTTCTACTTAAAAAACTTAATATAAAGAAAATATATTTATTTATCTTATTTGTAACTTTTCAGAAATAAAAATCAACAGGAAGCAACTACTGGTTTCAAATTGACATTGCAAGACCAATATGCAAAGAGAGTTGAATCAAGAAATGAAGATACAAAAACTAAACAAAACAATATAAATCAATCTGAAAATGATAAAGAAAGCAATGTTATTAAGGAAGAATTGACACAGAATGGTAAATCAAATTTGTCCATTTATATATATTTTTTTTAAGAATTAAAATAATGAATAGTAGAGAAATATTTATTTAAAATAAAGATCATTGACATTACATATAGTATGTGGTATATGAATTAATGTCCCTTCTAGGCATTCTCTTGAAATTCAATAGTTTGTTGATAAATAGGTCCTTCTTATCAAATTTAAATTAATATTTTATTTTCAAGATATTTGATATTTCTTTAGTATGTTGAAATAATATTATTATTGCAATGTATCTTAAATAGTTATGTAATTTATATTCTAAGCTGAGCGACAGCAATAAACATGTAGTGTAAATCTATCAATTGGTACCCACAACACAGGAATACCTAGTGTGGGCACCACCGGACATTTCTTTGTATAATGTTGTTTTTTTGTTAATAAAGATTTTTCAATATTATTATATATGTAATGTATTTGTTTAGATAATAAAGATTTATCTATTTATTTTTTATTTTAATATTTTTATTTCAGATGCCAACCAGGACAATATACCGCCAGTGATATCTGAATCAAACAAAGTTGTGATTGAAAATATTCATACAAATATTTGTGAACAAAGCCAACACATTGAAATACCTCAAGCACAAAGTAAACATATATTTTTTATCATTTCATAGTAATATATTTTGTATTAGGGTAATACTAATAGGACTTAGTAATTATTTAGATCATTTCCAACAATATTAGTTTCTCAAACTTGAGAATTATTTTTATATACCGTTTTATAAGTGCATACCAAAATATTCGAATGATTATATCTATATAAATCTATATATATGTATTAAGTAAAAAATGTTAATTTTTTTTCAGATGTCCAAAAATTGTTTATGGATAACACCAATTTAGGACCGATGCCATCTCAAGGTATGTGAATATTCACTATGAAGCAATTTTAGTGGAATTTTTGTATGGAATTGACAAATTAGTCCACTTGTTACAGATTATACGAGCAATAATCTGAGTTTGAATCAAAAAATATTTGTTCAGACAGATGAATCAAATGTATCACAGTTGTATTCACCATCTGATGTCTATGAAGGACTCTCTAAAGAAGGTAAAAGTTAAGGATTTTTGTAAAAATTTAATTATTAATATGTTAATTCATTTGTATCATATCCCTATAAATAATTATAAAATGAATATAATTTTTTTTCTATGTGTCATATAGTCAATATCTTAATTTTAAATTCCCTATCTATTATTAGTAATCATGTAACTACATGTTTCATCAAATACAACATGTAGTTACACAAAGAAAAAGTTGGTTCCTATAACTATAGGAACTGACTTTCTTTGTAAAAAACTTTGAATAAGCCAATTTTGATAATGTTTATCAAGTACATACATTGTGTTACTCAATATATACATTTAATAGAAATAAATACCATTAAAAAACTGGTCAGATCTTTGTTTATAAGGATCATTAAATAAAATTTAGATAAAGATGCTTTGAATTCTACTAAGATATCAAAATTAGTTATATTGTGTGCTGTTTCAGATTCACCGGACAATGAAACCGTTCGTACAAGCGCCTTTCAAAGACTCGGTCCACCAGAAAAAAAACCCAGGCTTACTATTAACGTTAATGTCGACAGAGATCACTCAATCCGGTTAGTAATTTTTTATGTGTCTAATATTCTGTTTATAATAATTTAGTGTTACAATGTAAATGTATTATATTGTCTTATTAATTTATTATTTCTTAATACACCATCTGTAATTTTTGATGTTTTTTTATTTATTTTTTGTATAATATGTGCTTTGGTTTAACAAAATAATTGAAATTATATGGATTATAGACCATACACGTAAATAATTTTATATATACTAGGATTTATCACAACTTTGCGCCTAATATATTTGTCCAAAAAGCAGATTGGAACCCCTTCCAACATTCAAATATCATGTCATGTTTACAAAAGAATTTCGGGTTGAATTTTAGCATTTGAGAAAGCAACTTACATCCATCCAAATATCTTAATTATAATTTATAATATATTAATATTAACTATATTTTTATGATAATAATTGTTAGACTCAAACTACATTATAACACAGTAATTTATAGTCCATTAAGGAGTTTTTTATGGGATAGTAATAGACATCCATCCAAACAAAAATCTAAGTTATAATATTAGTGTTTATATTAATTTTGATGATTTTAGAGAAGTAGTAGATGGGTCAGAGAGGTATATACCAACACATGAGAAACAAGAATTACTGGAGAGTAAAGATAATACTGTGCTTACTTTCTTACCTTTATGGCCGTGGAAAAATAGCATCGTGAAAAGAAAAACGGTCACTTATAAAAGTTCTAAGGTAAATAAACACTAATATACTATATGACAATATATGGTTCATACTTGGGCTATATATATGTATGTATATTGTATGTATGGGACATAAACCATATTCTCATTGAATAGACTCCAAGTAAATCAAACTAATATATCAAATTATTGAAATTGATTTTTATTGTTTTACATTTATTTTATTTACTATGTCAGTAAGAGTTAAATATGAAAATTTTACCCTCAGATATATAATTTCATAAGGCAACATAGTACAAGTGATTCACTCAAAATACTCTAAGACAAAATAATTAACTTTTTATAAGAATAAATTAGTACTAATATATACTAAATTTATGTTTTTTTATAAACAGACAGTGATGTTGGTGGAAAAAGAATATATGGAAGAGAAATACGATAAGGATTCAGCATTCTTCTTGATAACAGTATGTATGATATAATTAATATTCTTATATTAAACTAGTTTTTGACCGCGTCTTCGTCCGCTTCGACCTCAGCATTAAGTTCAAAGAGAAATGTATAAAATGTGCTATAGCCATGGATAGTGTAATTGACCGGCAGCGATATCTGTTGTCTGTTTCATAAAACTTTATCAAAAAAAAACTATTCATCGTTTACATCGTCACAATTCATACATACTAAAATATGCAGTATACAAAAATATAATATACATATTATAACGACATTATCCCGCGTTTACTATAAATTTCGGTATAAATTATAAGCTGTCTTATTCCACTGCTTAAACTGTTTTTCTATAAATTTTCAAAATCCGCTTAGTATTTTTTTGTATTTCGTAATGCAACTGCATATTTTATTTGTTTCAAACAGGTAGAAGGTTATCCAGAGCAATGGACGAAGGAAGACGTTTTGGATCTTATCCTTGATCATTTGAAAGGGAAACATTTTGTTCCTTGCTTTATAGAAGTATGTCTTGCTTATTATTACTTTTAAAATACATGTTTCTTACAATAATCTATTAATTATATTTTTATTACTAATGTATATAATACTATAATTACTTATTAATTTTGAGAATTTCTTCAACATTGTGTGTAATAGTAAAATTTATAACATTATATTATCTTAAAAGCTTTTTAGGACTTAGACAGTTATTAAGTAAATAGATTTTTCTAGTAGGATGATTCAGTAATATAAATAGTTTCAAAAATTAAGTGCAAAAATTTAATTTATTTATCGCTGAACATTAAGCTATGTATTTATTTAAATTAAAATCACTTAAAGTATCTGATACACGTTTACCATTAGTTATATATGAATTTCCATTCATTATTTTCAGTTCACTCCAAAGGAATGCAAATTCTTTGTCATCAGAAGCAAGGGTGCTCTACTGAATATTCATTCTCTAGGTTTTGTAATCCGCAGGGATAATATTGAAATTAGACTGTTAATAACACAAACTATACTTACATTGAGACAGATTGACTTCCTACCAAGAATAATTTTGAGATCAAGACTCTGTATGGCATATGATGGTGAGAGTAAGATGGATTTGAGTGAGTTTACCTTGAAAACAGGTAAGTCCTTTTTGAATTTGATAATCATATGAATAAATATCAAATATTATACATATTTATTATAATATTGTACATAATTTTCAGATATAAGTCACTTTATATACTACCCACTTCATCGTAACTTCAATCAAACAGAACTAATACACCTGCCCAGTTCTGTGTCATGGCATACACTGACTGAACTTATATTGTCACATAACAAAATAACGTATGCATGAAATATTTTCAATAGCATCATATTTATTAGATTAGTATTAGAATTTAAAATGTACAAATCTTTCAGATGCATAGAAGGTTTTCATCTAGATAAAACAACGCCAAAGCTGAATGTTTTAGATCTGTCGTACAACAATATTGAGAGTGTTCTAAGTTTGCTTCCAATTAGACAGTTGCATTTACTCAAGCTATCCCTTGAAGGAAATCCTCTTTGTTATGATTATATAGAATCAGATCATTATGTCAAAGTATTGAAGAGTATATTTTCCAGTTTAAGAGAAATAGTAAGTGTTTTTTTTATTTTTACATATATTAATGTCTTATTGTGCCCTTGAATTAATATTGATGGAATATAACAATAGGTACACATTTTTTTAAATATTACCAGCTTTTTTATCTGCTAATGAAAATCCCATCAGAATCGGTTCAGTCATTTTAGATATTAGCAGGACCAAATAGACAGACTGTCAATAATTATACAAAGTTTTTATGTTATAATTTCGTATATGTGTCATATTTGATATCATAACAATCAGAAGCTCAAAATTTACTTTTTTATATAGAAAAGATTTACATAAACAACAGTTAAATTCAAAATGATACTCTTAATTACAGGATGGAGTTCAAATAATCCATGACTTTGCTCCAAAAACTAAACAGAATTATTGTCAAGAAGATTCTAGAAACATTGTTGAGAAGTTTCTAGAAGTATTTTTTCCTTTATTGGAATGTAATCCTGATGAGAGAAGATCTATGCAATCTATGTATGCTGATAATGCCGTTATGACCGTAACTCACAGAGGACAATTGCGTACGTATACACCTTTTACTAAATTAACTATCTTTTTAGTCCTCAAAGATGTCGGTATTGAATCCAGAGAGAATTAATTCTTGTCAGCGCCATCTATCATCTTTTATATGACCTCATAAAAACAGAATTCTTATAGGTACAATTAATTACACAATAAATGTCTTCTGTTTTAAAATACTTCAACTTTCTGTGTGCCAAATGTCATTAACTCACAAATTTTTATAAATTTTCAGTGTTTCTTAAAAATACAAAAAAAAATCATTAACATTTGATCCTTTTTATATAAATAATATAATACAAATGTTTATTTACAGGCTACAATACATCATATAAACTAGCCTTGAACTTGCTTATTAAAAGTAGAAATATTCTGAACGGCGACCTCGACTATATACATGGTAGTTCTAATATTTTGAAATTATTGAAAAAATGGCCGAATATACAGCATGATCCCTCCACGTTCACTGTTGACGTTGTTTATTCTACAGTAAGTTATATATATTTTATATTAAAAAACGTGTATTATACATAAAAAAAATATGCAGAATACTTTTAATAATATACGATTATTTTTCTTAATTAAATACACAAAGGAAACATCCATAATCTTCACAATAAACGGCGTCTTCAAAGTAACGGCCGAAACACTGGCAGAAAACGAGAGCCTTTTAACGTTCGCACGTACAGTAACGTTGTATACCACAAATGGCTATGAATACAAAATAACTAATGAAATGGTTCACTTTGACGAACCTTATTATGAATGGGAAAAAAAGGCTTTTCAAATTGTATCGGTGAGTTTTGTTTTTTTTACAAATAATTTTAAAGTTAAAACTATGTATATGTTATCAGGTAAGTATCAAGTGTGTATTTGGCTTTATTTCACTAATAAAATTGATACGTTTATAAATATTCAAAAATATTTAATGTATCTGCAAGATAGGATTGAATACAAATTAAGTTATTATATAGCAGATTATTTGTATAATCTGTAATAAGAGATTTTTTATTTTTATCGTTATGCAAGTGTTAATAAAGAATGCTGTTTTTTTAACTGAGTATTCTAAAAATACACAGAAATTATTTCCTAACTTAATATTCGAAGGATGAAAAAATTTTTATTGAAAAAAAGAAAGAAATGCTAAATATTTCCATTTCTTACTTGAAATTTATGGTAAGTTAATAAATGTATGGTAAAATGGAATAAATGAAGGTGAATACAGGTGAGTAAATAAAAAACTTTAATAACTTGACAATCTGGTTATAGTGAGTTCTTTTAATTGTTTGAATTATATGGATTTGGTTTAATGGTCATGTGATTTTTTTATTTTTATATAGTCAATACTACTAGGCTATTTAAAAAAAAGACAGTTTTAATCAAAATATTTATATTTTGTCACTGAAATTAAAATGCGTAAAACTAAATGTATAGATTTCTAACATTTGTATCACTTAATTATTTATTCAATATCCTAATAATGCTTTTCTTACTTTGAATACTTAATGATTTTAAATTAATTGTTATCAGAATTTTTATTTGGTATCATTAACCTTGAGGATATTATATACATGTATATCAATACAAGCTTTTAAACAATTAAAAACATATTGTTTAAATATTTTAAAAAGTAAATTAAAACACCAAATTATTTTTGGCACTGTAATACACTTAGCATAAGGACGTGATACAAATGGGTACATACTATCATCTATAACACAAACTTATATTACACAGTATCCATAGATTCTTCATTTGTAGGTTCAGTCTCCATCAACATGTCCCTTTCATATACACTACCGGAATATTTTATTCTTAACTTCTCGTAATGCAATTGCTCCTTCTGAGATATAGATGGTTTACATTTAGATAAAGCAGATCTGAAGTCTTCGAATGATACAAATATATCGCCGTCTAGAGTGCCATTGGCGATATGATTGGTTAATGAATAGGTTGCAGCCGCTCTAACCAGACCCGATAAGTCAGCGCCAGTGTAACCTTCAGTTACTTCAGCTATATATCGTAAATCAACATCTTGGCCGAGAGACGGTTTAGTTCCTCCTTTAGTTAGTTTCTGCAATATATCGTAACGGTCTTCTGATGCTGGCATCCCAACATACATGATCCTGTCCAGCCTGCCTGGTCGTAGTACAGCAGGGTCAATGATATCTGGTCGGTTGGATGCGGCCAGAACGAAGACGCCTTCTCGACTTTCGATACCGTCCATTTCTGTCAGCAATTGATTTACAACTCTCGCAGTTCCATTGTTATCGTGCGAGCTACGTCTAGGACATAAAGCGTCGAATTCGTCGAAGAATATAACACAAGGAGCTGAATTTCTCGCGCGTCTAAAACACGTGCGGACTGCCCGTTCGCTTTCACCGACGTACATGTTTAGCAATTCAGGACCTTTCACAGATATAAAATTTACGCCAGCTTCATTGGCTACAGCCTTTGCTAGTAATGTCTTCCCACATCCAGGTGGGCCACATAATAAAACGCCGCTTGGTGATGATAATCCTAATTTCTTAAGCTGTTCGGGATATTTCACAGGTGCAAGAACAGCCAGTTGTAAATCTTTACGAACTTGATTTAAAGATCCTACATCATCCCATGTAACATCAGGAACTGTTACAATACCTTCCCTTACAGCACAAGGTTTGGTTGTTTTCAGGGCCTTTAGAAAATCTTCTTGTATGATGGCCAATCCAGTTAACTGGTCGGAAGTATAAGGATGAGTGTTTTCAAGGAGGCTTAAGACTTCATCAACTGGGTCCATTGGTTTAATCTCAATTTCTGGTGCTTTCTGTACTGATTCAATGATTCCATTACCCTGATCAGTTTCCTGAGAATTCACTGCCTCAGTTGTGCCATCCTGTATTGAGGGTTCTAAAACATTATCAGGCACTATATCTGCTTCCTTAACAATTTCTTCATTACTATTATCACCATTCGGTATTTTACCTTCATTATCTTTGTTTTCCATAATTTCCTTAACATTTTCTATTCTATGCTGACCTATTTTAGCAAAGATTCTCTTTACAGCATATGTGCTTGCTTTGTTAACAAGAGCTTGTAAATCAGCACCTACAAAACCCGGAGTTATCTGTGCCAAGTCATTCATGTTTACATCATCACCGAGAGCTAGATTTTTACATAGAATTAGTAATATTTCTTTTCTTGCTTTTAGTGAAGGTATTCCTAAGGTTATCTCCTGTTCAAGACGGCCAGCCCTTCTTAGTGCAGGGTCTAAAGAATCAGGATTATTTGTAGCAGCAAGTATAAGAACTGAGGCACTGTTTTCATTTAAGCTATCTAAGCTGGCAAGTAGTTGAGCAACCATTCTTTTTTCCATCTCTTTTTGAGCATTCATTCTGTTTCCACAAACTGCATCTATTTCGTCTATAAATAAAATACATGGTGCTACCGTTGTAGCCCTTTCAAACAGCTCCCTGATTCGTTCTTCAGATTCTCCCGAGACACCTCCGACTAGTTCAGTACCAGTAACAGCTATAAGTGGTAATTGAAGTTTTCCTGCAATAGCATGTGCTAACAATGTTTTTCCAGTGCCTGGGGGTCCATGCAATAGAGCTCCTCTGGGTGATTTAATACCCAGTTTTGCATACACTTCGGGATGTTTCATATGCAATACAAGATCACAAATTTGTGTTATAATATCTGATATACCGCCGATATCTTCAAAACTAACCTTGACATTTTTAACAATACCAAGTTCAGGTTTTTTCTTAGGTTGTGCAATTTTATTTGACTCCAATTTCCTTTTTTTATCTGCTGCATTCTGAATTGGTTGCGATTTCTCACGTGCGGGACTTTCTACCGCTGTACTATTTGTATTTCGATTCGGTATGTGGGGTGTAATAGTTATTTGATCATTTATTTTGGGTATTTTTGGGGCTGCGCTGCCATCTTCGTCACTGCTCAATATATCTATGGGTTCACCAGATTTGTCATTAGCTCGACGTATGACCGGTGGTCGCTTTTTCTCCTGCATTTTATACATAGCTAATAAGCGATCATTCAATTCACTGTTGTTTTCGTCTAATAACTCTAAATCCGATTCCTCCTCGGAGCCCTCTGACGTGGACGCTCCATCCAATCCGTAGCTTTGCAATACCACTTTGTAGGCACTTTCAACCAGTTGACAAAATGCATTATCGCTTCTGTTGCTGTATTCACGATAGCGCTCTTTAAGAGAACGCGCCATTTGGCTAACATCAACGAATGTCTTATCCACATTTTCAGCAAGATAATTTTTTACCCGGGATACAATGACTGGATCATTAATAGTTTTTTGTCGGGTTTGATGTTTCTTCATATTTCACAGATTTAATAATATTGTCAATTTTATATTTTACACTCTCTTCGTCGCAGGTTAACAATGTTTGACAGCGGCGTCGCCGAAATCAATGGGATCATTGCCATATTGAATAATCTTACACATTTCAATAGCTTTAATTGATTAGTTTTGTAGAAATTAATTGTTCAAGTCACTTAATATAACTATTTATTTAATGCTAAAATAATGTTATAAGTGTTTTATAATATTGTGATAAAATAAACATTTTCTAAACATCTAATCTTTAACAAAATAATTTTTTTCCTAAACTAATTTTTACACATTATATTTCAGATTCCAAAAAGAGCTATGTGTTTTAAATTTGATTCCACTCCAGATGAAAATACAAAAACCCGCCTTACTTATATATTTATGAAAATAACGAACGCGAATGAAAAACAATGTGAAAGGTAAAAAAAAATGATAATTTTTCACATTGAACATTAATTCTAATGTAAAAATTACTTAACTTTTTCTGCTTACAGCTACTTGAGGGACAGAAATTGGAACTTCAAAGAGGCTTTGGAACTATTTACAGAAGCCATAAAATCAAATAATATAGAAACTATACATTAATTTTGAAAAATATTAGTCAACTCAAGATGTACTTGTAGTTTTAGGGTATAAAAAACAAGCTAATTGTATTCCAAATAATGTATTCAAGGATAAATAAAAGACGAATTCTTAAATGAGTTTTTATTCATAAAGCTTATACATTTATACTATCATTTCAAGATGTCTGGCATACTCTATAGTCTGTTCGGCCAGTTCCGCTGATGGGAACACACCGGCAGCACATATACAAGTTTCCTCAGCTGCATTGAAGTGGTAACAGTTATCAGCTCCCAATGTCCAGTTACGCTATGAAAAATAAAAGTTTAGCTTTTATTATTACAGGACTTCTACACTATTGATGTTCTTAATTAATACATAAGGTTACATGAGGTTCTTAAGTAATGCATAGTTTGTAATGAAATACAAACTTTTGTATTTTAATAAATAATTTTTTATATACTCATGAAAGGAAATAATGTTTTTGATTTGTATAAAACTTATATAATATTCCTAAAACTTTGAATGTTTCTGTTTATAGTAATATCAAGTAATACTATTTTATGAATACATATACCAAGTATTTTCTTAATTACTGACATATACACTTCTCTAGTAAACCTTGGAGTAATAGAACAACAGTATATAATTTTAAAAAGACTATTATCACATAAATTAATAGAAGAGCTTGGCTGCTAACTATAAACTGGTGCCAAAAATTTTCAAAACTAACAATACTATTAAAAATATAAGTATTCATAGAATATCTGGATATTACTTAACTGTGTTGTAAAAATTAAAATAGTATTGTGATTAAAATAAAATATGCTCATTTTATTTGGCAAATTCAGCAAGAATATAAAGACTTTTAAACATACTTTACAATTGCAAAACAAAACACAGATATAGAATTTTAGAAAACAAGAAACAATAGAAATCATATGTGTAAGAATGTGTTTCACTGTTTGGTTTTTGTTTTTACTGGATTCACATAAAAAGATGTTTTTTTAAAATCTAAAATCCACATGAATTTTGAAAACAATTGAAATTTAATACATTGAACTTTAAATTTTTATAATGTTACCCAACTATAAATAGCTTCTTTATGATAAAAACAAAAAGAAGTATCCCAATTTAAAATTAAACTCTGTTAAAGAAATTCCTATCAAAATCAGTTAAGCCAATTGTGTAAGATTTTGGCAACAAGCTGTTATTATATTATAAAGACTTATTTTATGTATATAGATATTATTCCTTTATACCTTCTTTCCATACTCCAAAACTGCCTGCTGATTAGGTAAGTTAAGCCTCCTCGCTGCTTCGGTACTTGATATACACAAGTAAGCTTTTTCAATACAAGCTGCTATTTCACCTCTCACAGTATCTAGTAATGTGTCCATAAACAATGTGTAACTCTCTGCTGGGACATTATCCTGAAAGGAATTTTTTTTTAAATAATAAGTGCAATAGTTTAGCTAAAAATGTACAACCTAAATAATCAATATAGTACCTTAGCCAAGAAAATTTTATTATAGCTTCCTTCCATTAAATACTGTTCCAAAGCCAATGGATGCTTAACATAAGGATCCGCTCTGATTACATCGACTGGGAGACGTTCCAGTTCAGTGTGGAACTCGGCAACTCTATTCTGAGCCAGCAAAAATAATAGATTTAAACCAAGCAGTTGGTAAGTGAAGGCTGACTCGGGAAGGTGATCTCTAAAACATGAAAAAATTTATTGTACTAAATGCTTTACTGTAATAAAACCTTATTAAACTTCTAAGAAACAACTTATTAATAGACTTTCTTAGATATACAAAATTATATGACGAATCCCACATTATAATAATTTCTTACTTGTAATCGAAGTAGTAACATTTCAATTGAGACATATATCTTTCAAATGCCTTAACGTCTTTAGTCGCTACAGCCCATTGTGCTCCGATTTCCAGAACATCGCGACCTAATATCAATTCTTTTTGGTTAGCGGCAGCGTTATTACTAGGTAAGAAACTAAGATGAGTGAGTGCAATCTGAAATTAAAGGAAATATTAATTTAATACACAAGATATAACATATTAATCATATATATAATCAACTTTTGTATTTTTGTTCTCAATAATACTGTTTGCTGATTTGACAAGTCATCCTCCTTACCTTTATTTTATTTAGAAGCTCGCCACATTTGTCTAATTTACGTGGTTTTTTCGCCCATTCTGTTTTAAGATTTTGATAAAGAGTTGCAACGTCCTTTACAGAAGCCATTTCTTTAATGAATTTTAGATATTCTCCAAAAGTTTATGCTTGAAAATGTATACACAAGTTGTCATCTATATCGCCACAGACAATTTTCTAAACTGATTTGTACTACCCAAGTGACATTTTTGTAGTGTCATGACATTAAAATATTATTTATACTATGGGCGACTTTTTAACTGTTTTAATTTATTTCTTTACAAAAAAGATCCATTACCTAAAACTTTTGCAAAAACGGTGATTAAAAAAATCTAGTTTGTTATTTAACAAAAGGGTGAATTAAATAAATGAAAATAGTTTTAAACTATACAAGAACTATCTTTCTCTTAATTATGAATAACGATAATATTTGACAATTCACAATTAGGTAAAACGGAGGATTGTGCACATTTTAGATCTAATAACTCTTTTACAATTATTTTGTTGATTGCAACTAATTTAAGACAATCTGTTAAAAAATCTACAGAAATATATAAAAACAACTGTTGAAAATAATAAAAGTATTTTAATGCGGTTATTTGTCGCCGTTATTAATTTTTTTGTTCATTGAAATTTGTCAAAAGTATTTCCTTTAAATTTATTATTTAAATTTATATATCCTTTAAATTTATTTATTTATTATAATATTGCCTATTTCATTTTGTAATAGAATTTATTAATTTAAATATAAAATTTTAAATATTACGCAAATCGTTCAACACCTTTAATTGTTACGAATGAAACAATTTGCATGATTAAATAGTTGTGTGATATATTTTTTTATTGTTGAAATTTGAAAATATAAGACCTTTAAGACTTTATGTCAACGGCTTGAAATATACATATACATTTTAAGGGATTCTTCCAAGTAACCCTTTTTATTAATGAGAAAACTTACAATGAAAACGATTAATGTAATGTAGCCAGTGCCTAACATTTTATCATTATTTTCAATTTATCAGTAACTGTCACTCAGTTGTCAAATTTTTCTTTCGCTGATAACTTTGAGATTGAATTGGATTTTTTAATCATGAATATTAAAGATTTTAGAAATAAAGATGCTATAATAATGTGTGGAAATAATTTTAAATGAAGTAGAGAATGAGACCTAAACATGACTTCACCGTCGGCTGTGGTGTGCCGTGAAATATTTGATGAAAATAGCCAACCATCAGCCGAAGGTATTGTTTGTATCCCATTCAAATATTATTTCAATTAATGAAAAATTTCATTTTCGTCACTAAATAATAAACTTAAGCGATTATCAAATATGATAGGATAGAATAAGTTTTTTCCTAATTACCCATTACGATTTTATTGATTAATGTTTGATTTTATTACAAACTATTCAACAGAAAGCCTTATTTTAGCGAGCTTTAATAGGAACAAGACGTGTTTAAAACTATACACGATAACTTACTATACTTAAATTATACAATACAACAACTATACAATATATATGTTATCAATGAATACTTTGTAATTCACAGAAGTCTCTGACTATGCCTGTCAGCTCGGCATTGATCCAGAGAGCGAGAGTCATCTCCTACCCCTAGCTAGAGATGGTCTCATGCAAGCTCTGCCGGCACCATGGAAAGCCTAGTAAGTAGAATTATTTGTTATATTTCATGTTCATTTTCATTTATAAGTATAAATAGTAGTTCAAGATTTTGTAAATTCCATATGATTCCCCTTTCTTAAGAAATTTTTAAACACTTATTCTTATAACAACTAAATAGTCTACATTTGAAAAGGGTCGCATTGTAAAAATTGTTATCTATCAAATAATGTATTTGTTTTTTGCTGTTTAGAATTGTATAATGTATGTGCATATATTTTTTTGTTATATTGTTGAGTAAATACACTTTTAATTTTGCATGTTAATCTGTATTTCTCACATATTTGTATTGAATTGAATTTACATATAATCAAGATATATCACATAAAATCACACTATGTTGATAGTAAATTCTGATAATAAAACATTTCAAAGCAACATAAGTTTCTAAATTTTGAAAAGATTCAACATAAGACACATATGTTATGTCATATTTTCGGGAATAGTGCAAATCTGTGTAACTACCATTGGATAATTCTGCATATCTACATTGGAAGCAGATTATCAGAAGAAAATTTGAGCTGAAATATTTTCTATATTAACAACTTTTATTATTATATGTTGTCATTGAAGTTGTGAAAATTTATCTTTGTCTTAAATATATGAATAGTTGTACTTCATGGAAAATAAAACTAATAATGTATGAAACAGTAGTTGTAATGCAGATATCTTTTTACTTTTAAACAGCAAATTTAGTAACTATCATTTCTATTATTTAAACAGTATTGGCTTAAGTGCAAATAATGGGACAATCGTAAATATTAGATAAAATTGTTGTTATGAAATAAGGTTTTTCCTAGTTTAACTGGTTTTTGTATTTTCACTCTATACTTCAATTTAGTTTAGTCATTTGAATCCATACTAAATTTGTTTCTTCCTTAAAGTATATACAAACATATTTTTTTGCAAATTCCTTACATTTTGATTGTTCAGATTATTAATATAATGAAAACTAATTATTTGTTTCAAGTTTTGATGAAAAGCTTCAAACTCATTACTACTACAATGAAGAAACAAAGAAGACTCAATGGGAACATCCTCTTGATCATGTTTATAAAGAATTGGTTAAGAAGGCCAGGGATGCCTCTGTGCAAGATGATACCTGTGCATCGGTTCAGGTGAGGTTTAAATGCTTATATGTATTATATTCTAGTGACATTTGAAAAGTTATTTTAAGTTAAAATGTTTAATGAAAAATATCTTTGAAAAAAGAACTGGTAGTTTTTATTCATATATCTAATGTATTGTAAGTAGTATAACATATGTTAATAAATTCTCAACGCCTATGTCATTTTTAGAATTTATTATCCTAAACTTTTTAGAATATTAAATTGTTAAAAAATCCACTATCTGTGTATAGTTTTTACTATCAATATCTTTGAAGTTTAAGAAAGAAAATTCTCAGAATTGTAAGTAGAAAGTACACATTAAAGAAATATATAATACTAGCTGCGCCCCGTGGTGTTACCCGCAGATTTCCGGGATTTCCGGGTTGTAAAGTAGCATATGTGTTATTCCTGGACGTCAGCTTCCTGTATACAAAATTTTATCAAAATCGTTTTAGCCGTTTGAGCGTGAAGAAGTAACAAACATACACACACACACAAATTTTCGCAATTATAATATTAGTAGGATTGTTATTTTACAAATACCCTTCATTACAAGAACACTTAATATTGTCTTAAACTAGACTGAAAGATAGAATACAAACATGGTCTATATAAACTTTTCAGGAACTTCTCACATCAGAAGAAAACACCAAAAACCTTGAACGCGTTGAAACCAAAGTGGAGAGCGAAGATGAAGATTTAAGCACTGATAGCGAACAACATGTCTCTGATGTTAAAGATAATGCAAACCCTGCGATAATGTCTGCTAGTAGACGTTTGACTCCTTTGGGAAGACCACCTTTAGCACCACTGTCTAGATTGGAGAAAAAACTGAGTGATCTGCGAATTTCACCCTTAAGACGCAGTGTGGAAAGTCCATCATCTCCTAAACCGAATCTAGTCAGAAATATATCCGATAGAGATATACTGAGTCGTCCCACGTTTGAGAGGCCTAAAATGCTGTTCAAACAGCAATCCGAAATAATTGATTTGAAGATGCATGTTCTGACTAGTCCAGAAGAAGAAAATTTTAGTCCACTCTTATCATCCGCTAAAGTAGATAGAGGGTTACCGTTGACAGGTAATTTAATTTTAACCTTGTCGTACAAATAATTATAACTCAAAATATCCATATAGTCCAATAACAAATAATTTAATTTACCAGAAATCTCTATATTTGTAAAACGAAATTGAATGCAAACATAACATTTTGTTTAAATATGTAATCATAAAAATTATATCAACAGGCAAAGGAAATATGTTCCTCAAGATATCTCGTTCGAATCTTCCCAGTCCAGATACAGAAAAATCTCTACAACTAGATTCAGTGACTAAAAGTGACCCACCAAAGGGTATTCTGCGAGAGAAAACATATGACGCGATACAGAAAAAGGCTGAAATTATACTCGGGAAGGCCAAACAAACTCCGAGTTTTGAAGAAGATAAGAAAAGCGTTAGGTGTGTACTGAAGCATTATTCACATGATTTATATCATTTCAAGATTTTCAAGATATTCTTTAACTAAGAACATCAAAGTATTATAATTTTTTACGAGTTTTATTTTTTAAATGAAACTAATATTTTTCGGATTATACTACGCGACACTATTTTAGCAGCTCGTCTGCCCGTGATCACGCTTACTGAAAAGTTTGCCGAAACATCGGAAGTTTGTAGTTTTTCACAAAAAAAAAGTCGCGTAGTATAATCCGAAAAATATTAGTTTCATTTAAATATTATCATTACTTATATGTAGTTTAAATTATCATAATAACTTTGTTTATATTTGAATTAACAGGTTCAAACTGGAAAATCTGCCGGATCCTACAGTCAGTCCCGGATCAAACAGTTCATCAGAACAGAATGATGCTCAGAGCTCAATACGAGCTGCCTTGCCATCACCTACATCAACACCTATGAATCCCATAAATCCTATGCCTTTATCACCATTGGTAGCCAGACCTCCATTACCTCCAAAATTAGATAGCCCCAGGGATGTTAAAAGTATTTCTGGTTCCGAAAGAGATTCACTTGGTAAGGTTGATCACTTATAATTGTATGTATTATCGAATGAAAATAGTATTATAATAATTATTTTGTTATATAGATAGCGAAAGTTTAAATCGTGGAACTTCTCCAAGACGTCGTCTTGTGAAACCGTCACCAGCGGATTATATTAAACCCGAATTGTTCCAGAAGAATTTTCAAAAAATTTCAGATTTAGTCCGAAGAAGTGACATTGAACCGACGCCTATAACATTGGAAGAGCCGTCGTCTGACAAAGAAACTAGACCGAGGTAGGTATAACAAATTATTATTATATTATATATAGATATTATTATTTATATAAATATATATTTTTAGGTCACCGTTAATACCATTAAGAAACAAGATATCAATTAATCTAATGGAGAGTATCGAATCTGAAACTTCGATTGATTCTCCTGATAGAGAGTTCGCTAATTTGGATCTAAACGACTTAGATGACTCAAACGTTAAAGTAACCGATACAAAAGATTCAGACAAGGAAAATAGTCAAAAAACAGAAGATTCATCAGATAAATCACAATCTAAAGTGACCGAATCACTGCCGAAACCACGAGACCCGATCCCTCAGATAAAAGTTCCTAAATTAGAACCTATACAGAAGCAAATGAAAATTACTCATTCAGATTCAGAGGATTCCAAGAAGAGTTCAAAAGATGATGAAGCGAAAACTAGCGGTAGATCAAATAGTATAGAAATACCTAAAGCTAGACCACAACTAAAACTATCTCCAACACCTAGCCTAGGATCAGATAGGTCGCCTAGATTAGAATTCGCCAAAAACTGGTCCAGTCCTCTAACAACTTTCAAGCCGTTCAATAAAAATGTCATAACGCCATTGAAATCGTCAGATTCTGCGTCGAGTTTGGGCAAAGGTTTAACTAGTCCTAGGTTAGACGGTGTGATTCTATCTCAAGGGAAATCTAGCACAGATAACGTTGTTGTGGTATATCAGTTCGAAACGCAGGAAGATACACCAAAACCGATAAAATCTCCATTGATACCGGATATGGGGGTCAGGGATATGTTTGAGAGGAAACAAGATGAAAGGAGAAGATTGGAGTTAGCTCTACAGAAGGAGTTAGAGATTATAAGAATAGAATTCAGTGCGAAAGAGAAGAGAATGAGATCGGAGTTGCAGGAAGAATTGAAGGAAGCGGAAGAGAAGTTCCTGAACGAAAAAATGGTCAGATTGAAAGAACAATCAGATCGACATAGGAGAGAAATGGATGAGGTGAGAAGGACGTTTCATCATAGAATGTCTATTATTTTGAGATTTAATGAACATAGTCATTAGTTTGTAAGACAGAAATATGCATTTTTAAATACATTATTATAGTTCGTTAGACTTAAATTGAGCTTTGCATTTGTGTGAGTGAAAGTAAAAGTAGAGTTAGTAAAAACTTTTAAAATTAAATCTTATATTGTTAATATATACATAACTTAAGTTCGAGAGCTATTCAAGATTAAAAATAAAATAACCAAAACTTGTAAAAGGTAATATGGAAATATTATGTGAAAAAAATGTTGAAAAAACTGTACAAATTCTTCTTCACTTGACATTGCGTTTTCAACATTTGACGCTGCTACCAGAATAAAGGGTGAAGTGCGGAAGGTGCGGGGCGGAGTAAAAGCAGAATAAACCTAGAACAACCTAGAACAAAACTAGAAAAGAAACGTGGCATTCAAAAATTTGACATCACACCTACACTATCCGTGGGCACTCACACAAATGCAAAGCTCAGCTTAAATCAAACGCACTATACTTAATTCATATTTTTGTATGTATAAAAACAAGCAGGCTAAAATGTATACAGCTTTAATTCGGAACAAAAAAAAATGGTTCCTCCCTTTGAAACATTTTTCAGAAGCATTGGTTTTTAATGTATATTATGCTTATAGGCTCTTACAGAAGCTGAAAGGAAGTACCAACAAGAGCTTCAGAACAATTTAAAAGAACTTGAAAGAAAATATAACAATGATACCGAGACAGCTGCAAAACAATACGAGAGTGATATGGCGAGACTGAGAAGCGATTACAGTAGGAAGTTTAATGAGTTACGAGAACAGTTAGAAATAGGTTAGTTACTATATAATAAATAAAGAAATAGGTTACTTACTAAATAATGAAAACAAAAAAAGGTTTGTTTCTATATAATAAAAGAACATGAATTTTTCGTGGAGTGCCTCCGTGTTAAAGAAGTGAAACCTCGTAATGTGGGAATGAAAACAGGAAGGGGTACTAATTTGTTTTTAAGGATTTTTTGTTTTTCTTTAAAACGAAACCTTATTAAAATAACTTATCAGTCACTAGGCATTTTCCGCATGCGTTCGAGCGCCATTCCCTCTCGCTCAGTTTCTTTCTACTCCCTTTCCCCCCGACGCATTAAACGTTTAACGCAACCTTGTTAGAAGCCGCATAAGAAGTTTCACTTCAATAGTTATTGATATTCACTGATGATGATTACATTATTATATCTTTAACCTTAAAATTATGGGAAAATTGACCATATATATAATTAAAATACATATAAAGAATAAAAATTATTATTGTGTATTTATTATGAATACAATTTTAATATGACAGAAAACGAACGAGCCTTAACTGAAGTACACAGTCAATTGCAAGCAATTCTGAATAGAGAGAGATCGAGAATGATAGAAGAGAACCGCGCTACCATCGACACGTTAAGGGAGGAACACACGACGCGCGTCACCGACCTGAGACATGACTATAGAGCTGAGGTTCAATTAATATTAATATTGATATCACAATAATATTAGAAAGGTTATAGTTCGTGTGTGTATGGCTTTATGGATGCATGGATGCATGGATGTGTGAGATTCTGAATCCTATTTTATTGTAATTTGTACCACTCAGGATAACTATAATCTATAAAGTATAAGGTCAAGAAAAGGTGCTTCCATAGTATGTAATTTCATATTTTTGTCAATGTCAAATGATTTTGACATTATTTCCATACAAATAATATGAAAAATATCGTTTAGTGCGAACTAAGCGATGCTCAAAACTATACGGCGATTCGTATTGTAGCTATGTATGGGTTTTATACTGTCATATCTTATTCACCTTTTACATGACACAGAGGTGGTAGCTATTATTTTTACTGCATCTAAATAACTGTAATTTCTTTGAAAACAACAAAATATTCGATTAAATATTACTGTTTACCTATCTATTTATCTAATCTAATCTAATCTAATGTAGTAACCTATCTATCGTTCCAGGTGGAGCGTCTCCGTGCTCAACACGCGTGTCACCTGGAGGAGCTACGGGCTCGACTGGCCGGGGAGAGGGCGTCCTCACGACGAGACGACCGGGCCGTGATGGATAAGTACAAGTGCTTGAAGGAGAAGTACGCGAGGCTGAAACATGATGTCAAGGTAGCTTTGATATGGGAAGGTTATGTGTATATTTAGGTGTACATCTATTTAAAACCAAACACATACATGAAATAATGTTATATAAGTAGATGTTATATTAATTTGTATTAGAATATATGTATAATGATATGAAAGGAAACTTTTTTCTTTGTGATGGGCTAGGTGGTAGAGAACAGTGTTGCTAAAAAATTTACATAAAGCATAAAAGTTATTACGGCAGTTTTGTACTTATGCTTTTTGTTTTTTTTTTTTTCCGGTATCAAAATTAACAAGATTCTGTAAATGTGATTAATACTAAAATGTTAAAAGATGTACAAATATTTCAAAACCGCCTTTAATAGCCCAATTAAACCTTGTGTATTTCTTGAATGTCATGATAAGTCATAACAGACTTATGTTTTATTAGATTTAACATAGTACATATTTTTTTCTTCAACTGACATTAAGAAATTATAAACTTGAATAAAACTGAATCAAAAATTATATCTTTATAAAACTAACAGAAGAAAATCACGAATAATATGTCAGCACGTCATAATTTCCAGATGTCTATAGAGAGACGTAACAAGCGTCGTGAGATGAGTATGACGACTGGCTCGGAGACTGAGAAGTCAAACTCACACAAAACAAACAACCAGTCCTTGGAAAGGTTTGTATGATATATAAGACATAGAAATGATTAGTAAAGATGCAAAAGGTTATTATCAATATGGTCTTTTAAAGATATATTTTAAAAGCTTATGAAATACCACCTGTTTTGTGTACAAAATCGAGTTTAACTCTCGAGTCACTCACAAAGGTAGATGGATGCACTCATAGAATATCATAACTATGATCGCAATACAATATTTATCAAATCCATAGTTGTCAAATCTAATGTCAAAAAAAAAACCGTTTGTATGGGAAATAGAAAAGGGCTGTTTTTAGCTTTTTAGCTTTTTTCAGCTTTTAAACCATCCCAATTTTTTTCAGCTTTTAACCATCCCTGAACCTCCACGAACATTTCAAAATTAAGATAAGATAAATCCGTTCAGCCGTTCTCGAGTTTTAGTGAGAATAACGAACAGCAATTAATTTTTATATATAAAGGATAATCTTTTATCACTGTGAAAATAAAATATATTATAGAGGTCATTTTGGCAAAAAAATTATGATCACAACTAAATTATCTTAATTTCTCCGCTATAAAAGTAACTGCGAGTTAATTATTGGTATATTGCAGGTCTGAAATAGTATAAGTGTAATAAATGTATGCTTTGTCAAATAAATGCTTATGTATAATTACAGATGTAAAGAATTGAACGAGACATCTGTTAGTGTCGTGCTAGAGAGCGAGCCTCCTCGTAGGAACAACAATCCAACTATAAAATTCACAGACGAAACATCATACTCTGAGAGTAACGCACAGAAATCATTAGATAATAATAACGAAGATTGGAAACATAAGAGGGATGTGGTAAGTAATTTCTATATGTAAATATATTATAGAATATATAAATAAAATATATATTATATATAAGTTATACAAAACATTTAAATTTATTATTTCATACAATATTAACGTTCTTACTAACGGCAATAAAATTTAAAATATTATTGTGCGACGTATTTAAATCATCAATATGACAAAATAATGACATTCACATCTCGTCTGCCCGTGATTACAGTTACTGTAAAGTAACCGAAACGTCGGGAGTATGTATGTAGTTTTTGATAAAATAAAGTCGCGTAGTAGAATTCCAAAAAATAATTTCATTTAAATGACAAAATACTTTAGATTATTCAAATATATATACATAATATATCCGTAAATTAGCAAGAACGTAACATTTTGATAAACTTATTGTGAGGACATAAAGAAGAATCGAACAAAATCGTATTCAATGAAAGTGGAGAAAGTCTAATACTAAACGGTTGCCTAGCAACCATGAACATACAATAACAACTACAGCGTCAAGACTGATAGTTTATTATTGAATACAGTATTGTATTAATTATTATTTATTTATCAATTGAACGAAAATAGGGTAACAGAAATAATTCTCACTAAATAATATATATTTCTTATCATCTTAAATGGTTATAAATATTATGTGATTCTAGTTTCAAACAAAGTATTCCAAGTTATTAGGTCTATATTTTAGTTTAATAACTATAATAATAAAATTTAACATTTTACATAAAATATTAAGTATATGGAATGTTGTTTATATTAAGTAATATATTTACAGACTCTACAATCGGATCCTTCTAAGCTGTCGTCGAAGCCTCGCAAACGTAATGCAGTGGCCTTCAGAGAACCTCCGAGGCGAAGGCGGGACAAAGACACAGACGCTGGTAATTGTAACTGAAATATTTTATACCAAAACTTTTCCTTATCGAAATTTCTTAAAAGATTGTCATATATATATATATACACACACATATATAGGTTCTATAAATGTTTGTTCTTGTGAGGTATATTTGAGCTATATATTTCAATCGATTTTTCATACTGTAGGATACTCTGTTTAAAACAATTTATATACATTTATTTAAAAAAAAAATAATGTTTCAATCATCAGTTATGTAAATTTTGATTTGTAATCTTTAACTTAATTGAAAAGTAATATTTTTGTTTTTAATGTATTTTGTTATATTTTTCATATTCAAGGTACCACCGACTGTCAGGATTCATCAGACGCGACCACAGCGGACGAGAAACCTAAGGAAAATATAAATGGTATTCAACTATAAGTAATAATAACATAGAATATTACATATCAACTTTTCGTCAAGAATATATTTAATATTGTAAAGAATATGATTATTTTCTATTGGGAAATTATTTAAGAGTACATATATAATGTATAATATATATTGATTATACTTTCAAATTAATAATAAAGCACACAAAGGAGATCATTCAGGCTTCATACATTTTTGGGCCTTTTTTAAAAGTGCCGGCCAACAAAAAAAAAAATGGTACATATTTATAGAACTAACCATTTGGAACAATAGTTAATATGGCGCAAAAGTTGTAGGATCCAAGATATAGAAGTTATACAAGTCAGAAGAAAATAAATGTACCAAAATGATGAATCTTGAAACTTGTATAACTTCTATATCTTGGATCCTACAACTTTTGCGCCATATTAACTATTGTTCCAAATGGTTAGTTCTACAAATATGTACCATTTTTTTTTGTTGGCCGGCACTTTTAAAAAAGGCCCAAAAAGAATGATCTCCTTTCTCAATAATTTTATATTTTCAAAAATTAATAACAATGTTACCATTTCTTCATAATGCTAATTGTATTGTTTCATATTAAAATTTTAAATTTCTATAACTATTTAAATATTTCAGGTCACGGTAGACGTAGATGTTTCACGAGATTAAAATCAGCTTCCACTTCAAGATTGAATTATTCACCGAAGTATGTAAACTAAATATTGATTCAAATCAATTTCTATGTGAATTGTTTTAAAGCGAATGTGTATATGTGTGGATGGATGGATGTTTTTTATTAGCTTAAATAAAAACCACTGAACCGATTTTGATGAAACTTCACAATAATATAGATTATTTATCAGAATAACAAATAGACTATAATTTATTCACAATTCGTGTATAGTTCATGGTACATCAATGCATAAAAGTTGTATGGTGTTATAAGTCACGTGACACACGCTATAGTTGTGGGTAGTTTACTATATGCATTGTTTTAACATACTTTATACGCAAATTTGAAAATAGCTCTGATGTTCACGCGGATAAAGTCACGAGCAAAAACTAGTTTAAAACATTAACATCGCCATTTATTTATTATATATAATATATTTCTTTATATCGATCATATACAGGGTGACTGGTGAATTACTATCGATATTTGAGGACGTGATATTTGACGATCATATATGATAAAATAAAAATTAATATAACATAAATATTAATAAACTTCTAAGTAAAGTTAACCAAAAGTTATGTAATTAATTACGCATCGTGTGAACACCCTACAGATTAGGTATACACACACACACACACGCGTCGGCGGCGTGGTGTTGTATCAGCACGCCGCCGCACTTGGAACTCCGTCCACACTTGGAACACTTGGAACGTGTCTACACCTTATTTATTTATACGGAAATTTGGCCAAAAATTAAGTACCTATTTTTTTTTACATAATTCGAATGAGAATCATGTACCGAGTATTCTCCTTAAATATTGATAGTAATTCACCAGTCACCCTGTATATAAGTGAATTTTATTTGAATTTAATTTGTTTAATTCCAGGCGCGGTGAAGGTTGGTCGAGTCCTTTGGAATGTCTTCGTCAACAATTAAGAAAATTAGACGACTTAGAAGATCAGTTCCCAGACCTCGCCTGCCAGCCGGCATACAGTCTGAGATATCCATTCGGAGAGTTAGGTTAGTAGACACTTGTTAATTATAATAATAATTATTATTATTTATGAGAAATGTGGTGAACGAAAAGACGTCCTACATGATGGGAAGTAGTCACCGTCGCCCATGGACATTTGCAACATAAGTGATGCTGCGGATGCGTTACTTTCGGTTGTGGGAGATAGAGAGGAAAAGGTGGGAACAGGGAAAGAGCAACCGGTTCTCTCACTCATCGGACGAAACGCATCTATTAAAGTCCGGTTCGAGCCGATCTTCTGTGAGAGGGTGGTATTTCCCCGCTCGAGCCAGCCCATGTTCGAGCTGGAGTAACTGACCACAGCTAGGCTATACCACCTTTGAAAAATATAATTTTAATGTTAAACATTTTGCAAATCGTCGTCGATAGTGCAAATACGTGTAACTAACATTGCATAATTTTCCATATTTGTATAAGAAACAGTCGCAAAGGAAGGTAGAAATTAATATTTTTTTTAATTTAATGACTATTAACTATCAACCAATTTTTTTCACATTGATTAATTATTATTTATCAGTTTAATTTATTACTCATCGTAAAAAAATACACGCAAATAATTATTATACACTTATTTTATTCCATTACTCAAATTCAAACATTTTAATTTGTAACTTCAAGAATTGGTTCCGCGTATATTTGAATCTTACATCTTACTATATATCTTATGATTAATGCATTATATCTTCATTAATATGTAACATATTTCTAATTATTTATGTGTATGTAGGTCCCGGTCCCACAGCTGATACTCCAGAGCTCGAGTTCGTCCGTCACCGTGCGTTAGTGGAGCGTGAGGGTGTGAGGCGAGCAAGGGACGCGCTCCGCAGACGACGAGCCACACTCCGCGAGAGAGACAGACTGTCGCCGCACAGAGCGCCCTCGGTATATATACACACGCACACACACACATACACACACACACTCACTCACGTATATGTACATGTAAGGACTAAGGACCCAGCGTATGTGTGTGTTGGTTAAGGACACATACGCAGTATTGTTTGATTCTAACGTACATAATTACGTCACATACACAAACATAGTTGTTTCGACGCACACATACATGCTAGTGTTTGATACTAATACATTCGCGTGTTGGTTATGAAAAAATATCTCCCACTTATACGCGTTATGGTGTACATACATGTTTATTTGAAGAGAGTCGCTATATAAATTGTATGATACTTTAAGTGCTTGACGATATTTATTTATTTATTTATATTAAAACAAACACGAGCAAACACGTACAGATTGTTTGTATCAATCAATCCTGAGTTTACAAAGGACATTATTTTATAAGGGAGAAAGTTAACCAAATAGCATTAATGAAATTTGTATTTAAAACTAACAAACTATTTATTAGAAAATAAAATTAGTAAAAAAAGTTGTAACCTTAAAATACCATGTTCGTGTCTCCAGTTACTAGACGACAGAGAGCAGATGACATTTCAATATATGTATATCTGTATGATGTCCGCGTTTGATGTAATTTATAATTTAGGAGGAACGCGAAGCCACAGAGCTCGAGGTAGCGCTACATCGAGCACGAGCGTTGCTCGGTGAGAAGGAAATAAGGCTGAGACACATCGAGCGGGCTTTACGCAAATTAGCGGACGCGCAGCCGCCGCTCATACAGGTTCAATAGCCTAGTCCGTGGTCGCCCTTATTTTTATTTGCTTGCGGATTATTATTTATTTTCGTGTCTCATTGTTGTATTATTTTTCGTCGTTTCATATGGATTAATTATCATCGTTGGCGGTCATTTTTTCTACACGTCGCTATCATTTTTTATTGCACAATTAAGCCAATATTAATTATTATGTTTACATAATTTAATGTTAAAAATGATTGTCTAGGAGGCTACTACTAGTGAAGCATCGTCTGGTAGTGAAGCCCCTCACGAAGCGGAAGCGGGTAGCGCAGTGCTTCGCTCACTGAGAGCACTTCACGCTGACGTCAGAGATATATGGAGGGCCCTGGACGCACGTCGCCCGCATACCGGTCAGTATATAGCCAATCAGAAGTATTTCATGTCAAACGTTGGCCAATCAGTATTTAGGAATTAGCTAATTACAGGTATTTAATGACAAACATCGGCCAATCAGTATATATTTCTTGTTAAGGATTAGCCAATCACAACAATACTTTGTTATAGTTGATAACCAAAATTTGTTTTGTTATTTATTTTGAATTAACAATTTTCTAAGGCCATAAAAGCTGATATGAATAATAATTTTTTTTTTAAACGCATTTGTTATATAAATTATTAATTTAACATTAACCCTAAATTTCAGCATCACCAGAGACAAGTTCATGTAATCCCACCACCTCTCATACTAGATTGACGATGTCGGCTGTGAGTAAACATAGAATTCATACACACACATGCATGCACGCACGCACGCTTTTAAATTTCATATATAGCTTTCAGAAGACTTATAAAGTATTTTCAACACCATTCAATACAAAGCATATCAACTTATTGATTTATTATACCATACTCTTAATACATATTTATAATCAAACAAAATTATTTCATCAATCAAAAAGTTTATTTAACGTCTATATCTCAAAATATTGTCTTACAAATATGTAATAATTCTAATTAATTAATTCTTATATATTTTCAGCCTGAAACCTGCAAGACGAATCCTCACGATTCGGACGCGATCACTGAAAAAGCTAAAGGATTGAGAGCGTGGCTTCAAACAGCTCCATAATATTTTGGACACTAGTCCTTACATCATTCTATATAACCCATAAATATACATATGTATCTTATTAATTTAACTATGCATTTTTATGTAATAAATGCATTCTTTATATTCACCATAGACAAATCATTCCATAGAGTATGTGGAAAAAATATAAAACATGTATATGTAATTTTACTTTTATTACATAAATATATATGTATGAAATCACTACTTTTTGTGAAGGGTGTTTTTAAACATAATGTTGTTAATGAAAATTATCTCTCTAATACTTGTGAATGATTATGAAAATTTTGAATTATTATGTTATGGGTGTAAAAACCAAATGATTGTGTCTAGTCATAATTTTAGTCGATAGACTGATAATGGAACTTCTATTCTAGATATATCTAGACGTGATTATCCTAGCTTAATATTGTAGTGTGATAGTTGGTATGTTTGTCGCCCCTTCAGACTCGGCGACTTTGTAGGATTTGGTAGCTTGAATATATTACCCCGAATCTCCTATTGATGTAATGCGATTATTATATATAAAATATATATTTAAGGCTATCAAAAATGCACAAATTTCATGGAATATTTTTATTCGGCTTAATCGATTTTTAATTTCAAATTTATATCTATTTTTAAATTAAATTATACATTATAATGCTTACAATTAATTTAGCTGAAGCGTTAACAAAAAAATAACAAAACAACTTTGTTGTATAAAAAAATATTAATTTAAACAAATATTTGGTTTATTTTATGCATTCTAGTTAAATTAGACGAAAATTTTCTTTGAAAATTAGTTTTTGGATCAAGCTGTTCATAATGAAATACCTTTGTTGATACTAATCTTTAAAATCTTGAACTCATATAATGTGAACACTTTTTATTGAAAAATTAATTATAATTACTTTGTTGACTATGGAATGACTAAAATAATTTTTAAATTGTTAATTAATAGAAGTTCTCGTAAAAAGTATCAAAATGTTGCCTTTAAATAATTCCTCAAGGTCACGCTTGTATTGTTTCACTTATTTTATGATGTGTTATAATTAAATTCAAATGTATGTATCACATGAAACTATATTATTATATATATTCCTGTAATATAGTCTATTATTATATATAATATTCATATAGTATATATTCCATGTTTCTTGATATTTTAATATAATATCTGTTATATACTTATCAAATAATTTTATTCATACATTCCATACAATATAATTGTGATAATGATAACGCACATCATTACGGATCTAGTTAAAAATTTATCATTAAAATATTCTCGTCTCGACACTTTAAGTTTAACCTTAATGTAGACTGATTTGGATCGTATGGATTTTATCGACAATTTTTCTATACAAATATAGAAAGATTGTTGTATAGAAGGAAAGAAATGTACTGTGATAATGTGGAGAATGAATGTATGATTCTGTAGTCAAATTTGGTCCATAAAATCTATCCTTATATATTTAAATAAATACATATATATACGGTCATGTTGTAGTAATAATAAGGTCGATCTAAATCAGAGGCCTTTTTTCTTTGTATATTCCTCGGACTTTAAGTCTGAATTATCGCTTGAATGTTTCATTGTTTAAAATGATAAACACGCACAAATTTTAACACGTAATATATCTTCTTTGCGTTAATAGAAGAATTCTTATAGGTCATAATGTTATGGTTTTCCTGTATTCTCCCAATGAGGGTAGTTACTCATTTAAAGTACATATACTAAAATACATCTAGTCAAATGTTTCTCGAGTTATATTGAGCTTGATTTAATTTTATTCTAAATTATATAAAAAAAGTTTCATTGAAATTTTATTTACAACAAAAACTATATACCTTTATAAAGATGTCTATTAAGTTGTCTATTCTAGATAATATTAAATAAAATATATATGAAATAGAAATCTAGTAATTCAATATCTGAGGCCAAATATATTCAAATGCTGTTGATATATAATCATGTAATTTTAATTAATTATCTGTGGTACATGTAGTGAATTTAAAAGAAATCGATGGATGAACATTTGATCCATATACCTATCTCTTTGTCTAGCTATCTATATTCGAATGTTATTTCATCACAATTCGTCGATCGATTTTAATTTCACTAACCATAATATCTATATAAGCAAACAAACATACGTAAATCTTACAATTAAAGTTTTATCATTGTTTTCACTCTGCTGTTACATAACTATTTTTAATAATATGTAAATATTTAATATACAGTGTGTTTATATGTTCGTAGTTATGATCAAATTCACCGTATAACCTATGTTATATATTACAACATAGAAATGTAACTTTTGATCTTAGTACATGCCAAGTGTGAATACGGGTTTATTTATAAGACACTTTTTTATAATCTGTGCTCTTCGTTCCAGTGTAACATAATCCTAATGATTGTTAAGTCAACGATATTATTGTGGAAGTAAAACAATACATCTCTGTATTCGTTTCATTTAAGTAAATGTCATTTAAATTTTACCTCACTATCTTATAAATGTCAGAAGAAAGAAGATGCTTAGTAAGAGAAGCGATGTACCTGAAAAGAATTTTTAAATGATTTTTATAAGATTGATAAGTAATCTCGCTTAGAAAGAAGAAATTTTTCTGATTTATTAAGAATTGAGCATTGAGCCTGAAATATATAATTTTAAATCGTAATGTTCAAAATGCAGGTACTTTATTTACATACGTGTGCCAACGAAACAAGATAAACATTATAAACAAAATCGACTAAAACAAAATTTGACTTCTGTCTTGTGTTTATTCCATAGTTGAAAAGATTTAAAGAAGGAATGGGAAGAATTTAATAAAATATATTTTTGATACGGATATCTTCACATGTAATTAAACTATTTAGCAGCTAGTCTTTAATTTGTGACTAATTTTCTACACATTTTCGTCCCATTTTGCTAGTATCAATATAAGTGTTGGTTTTTATACCCACCAAGTAGTCGCTTAGCGGAATTAAACTCAGCTGGTTTTCCGCTGACGATATCACCATTATAAATGATCTCCGGTCTACACATAACCTTGGTATCGTCTATACGAGTATATGAAAGATAGGACCACACTTTCCACAGCTTAGATGTCGCGTTCCAAACTCTGCCGGTGAAATCAGCTTGTAACTGAAAAATATATATGTAGATAAGAATTCCCATAAAGTCTATAAAAGTTGTTTTGTTCTTTACTTCTATTAACCCATATGTTAAAGTAATTATTCTAACGTAACCAAATTGAAAATGAACCCCAATAAAGTTAGTGCGGATTTCTTTTTTTAACTAGTTATATCTTAAAAAATTGCTTTTCAAATGATCCATGAGAAGCAGTAATTGTTAGTTGTTATAATTAGTCATTTAAGAAATTCGTTTAATGAAAACTATTTGACTATACCGTAAGAAATATTAATTTTTTATATTTTTTTTTTGCGAAAATTGGTCTTAATTTGCTCTATCAATTACACAATTGTACACAATTTTTGTGAGTCCCTAGTTCCTAGAAGGCCTTCGGGTCTTGTGGATCAATAACGGCGACGTGGGACGGGTTTCCATTTTGAAGAAAAGATAGTCTTTACTTTAACGATACTCGTTTATTGCTAACAAATTCTTACAAAAACTGTCAAGAATTGTATAGCAGAGATTCTACCACTGTTACTGCTAAGAGCGACCAATGTAGAATGAATCCGGTATGATTATGCTTGGTCTTGTATTTGGTAGATTCTGTTTTACAATTGCGGATACTTAAACAAAACTAATCACCTGATATATTGCTAAGACTATTTATATTGATGAAGTAGTTAAATTGAAAACAATTATAATGATTTAGTTATAACAATTATTATTTATTACTACTAGATAATAAATGAATACACGAAAAGGAATATATTTGATACGAAGAGTCTTTCGGCGGGACACGGCCATACTGATTGCTGGTGCATGCTCACCGCCCACGTCTCTTTATCATAAGGGGTTGTGACTTCGGAATTAAATCTGAAATTATTGATGTTTATAATTCTTTTTTTTATTTAATTACTTTTAATTTGCATTAAAGGACTCCAGCTAGAAATTTAGGGACGTCATCTATATGTGCACACACTACACGTGTGTTATCACAGGTTTGCAAAATGTTGCAGAAGTCGTGATATGCATGCACTACAAGTGTCATGTCATCGGTTAATATTTATAAGCTTAGAGGGGAAGACACTGCTGTATTGATGTCTTCTAAACTGTTGTCATCACGTTCATACATTTGCGATACTGCCACCTATTCTTATGGATTGAGAGCTCGTATGAATGGTATTTGCCTTCAGCTTCAATGGTTTGCATGCTCATATAAGCGACTGCATGCTGTCGATTGTTTAGGACCTGAATGAGTACTGCCCCATAGCCCCAAGAGAGCTTGCATCAGTATATCATTCTAGTGGAGCGTTTTCTAGAAGTACATATGAAGTAAACAGGTTCAGCTATTAAGAAGTTTATTATTCTATTATGAGCCATCTCCTGTTCGTAAGTCCAATTCCATTTTTGGTTAAGGTATAAATAGGCACCTTTCTTGGTTACGGCATAATAAAAAGGCATCATAATGTTAAAAAATGAGAAAAACTTCATAAATATCCAGCTAGGTTTTGGGAATAGGAGATTTTATTAAAGCTTCTACTTTTTGTGGGCTATGACGCACTTGTCCATTTGAAATTACGTTACCGATTTTTCTTTTTTACTAATATGACTTGACTTGAGAAGGGAAATCATAAAATAATCCAAGAGTTCTTTTAAAATATTTTCAGTTTTAGTCTCTCGACTTTATTTAAACGATAGGGTCTGCGTTCAACTAATTTTTCTGGATTATTTAATCTAATTTCTAACTCACTCGTAGGAACACGAGCTTTCCCGAAGCCTTCAGTGAACAATTGTGCAAACCGATCAAGAAGGGCAAGTAGACGTTTTAATCGTGTTTGATCTATAATGTCACCATCAAAATTTTTGAACGAATATTTTGATGTTTTTAAATACATCTAGTTTTGTAATGGAATTAATTTAGTACCAACATATGTAATAATAACAGAGACGCCGGTTTTCTCTAATAAATTTGTTCCTTACAATACGTTAAAAGAAAGTCAATGATATGGCAAAACATAAAATTGAATTTTGACATGGATATTGTCTACAAAGCAGGTACTTTGTATTGTTTGAAAAAATATGTCTGGAACTGAATCACTCCCTCTAGATAAGTTACTCAATGATTTTGACGACCAGGGAAATGGAAATGCAAATTGATTCTCTAATAGTGAAATAATAATCTCCACTTTTAAAAAGGGCAATAAGAGAAATGGTTTTGAATTTTAATTACCATAGTGGTGAATGAAGAGTTACCAATATTGTTCACTTGCTTTGAGGAAAGATCATTAGTCTTTTGAAAACATTTGTCTAAAGTGTGTCCGACTTTTGAACTGAATGTACAAGTAGGCTTCATAGTTACCTCCATATACTTAGGATGCGAATATCTAGAATTTGCATTGGTGTTAAAGTGGCAATCTACAAGGAATGACTTTGTCTTTTGCATCTAGTGCAAAATGGGCCGAATCTAAGATCTTGGTTTGAAGAAAAACGGGAGCGTTTTGGTCGAGTTTTCGTGTGATAACCATCGTTAAATTTCCTCATAGATATAGTAGTGGCAGCCACCGAAACCAGCTCAGGTACAGTAAGAGCACGCCCGTTCATTCATTCTATTCTCAATATTTCGTCATCGATACTTCCAATAACAGCTTTCACGGCGTTTTCTTGACTTAAATTGTCTTTTATTAAGATTAAGTATCGTAGACGTGGTTTTTAAGTTTTCCTGAAGTTCATTCCAAGAAGATGTTGTTATAAGCCATTTATCATTCAGCCATTCAGCCCAAAGTTTAGCACGTCCTTATAGAAGAGACATAACTTTCATCCGAACTTCATAATCTTTCAACTCGTAATGGTTCATCGCTGTGCTGATGTCCTGACACCATTCACTAATGTCAATGCTGCCATCAGGATCGAAGTTCGGTAAGAATATATCCATTATTTTTACTTTTGTTACCTGTGGGGCAACTAAACGCTCCAACATCTGCTGCAACATCTTCATCATCTCAAGAAAAAACTATATGGGTCGCTTCCGGAGTTAACAGAAAGGTTCGGAATCAAATGTTGTACCAGACTATTCTGTGTTGGTGATCCAGCGGTTGAAGGTGTAGCGTGAGACGTCCTTGCTTTTAATGTGAGAGTGAGGGGATCCTCGTGGAACTGAGACCGAGACCCTAGTTCCTTAGAAGGCCTTCGGGTCTTAGCGTTCAGTAACGGCAACGTAGAAAGGGTTTTCATTTTGAAGAGAAGATAGTCTTGACTTAAAATGTTACTCTTTTATTGTACTTGGACAATACTAATCATCTGATATTTTGCTAAGACTATTTACATTGATGCATTGGGTGATTGAAAATAATTAGAATGATTTAGTTATGACAATAATTAGTACTAAATAATAAATGAATACATGAAAAGGAATATTTTTGATACGACGGATCTGTCGGCGAGACAGGTATATTTATTTCGCCCGTGTTACCTAAGTTAGGCCAATTAGGCACATAATTTTGGTAATATTAAGCTTCGTCATAAGGAAAAATTAAATACGTATAATTAATTCTAACATAGTAAGCAAGTGCTTATACTCATTTCAATCGTTTGGGACGTTTTGCAAAACATCCCCATAAAAACTTTCGCTTTTGGAATATAATAAGTCATACCTTATCATTATTAACTGTCCATTCCAAATTTGGCGCCGGTAGTCCCGTGGAAGAACAGTTCAACATCACGCGACTAGGTAATTCATGATGCTCACGGATTTCATCGGTTACAATCTCTGCGTTCGAAGGTGGTACTAGAACAAAAATATATTTAAAATTCCTTATTTTGAATTAAAAGTAAATGCACGTTCCATTGTACACTATGGGATTGTTCTTACATAATAATTTATATAGAACTTGCTCGTATTTGGTGAATAAAAATTAATTAAATAGCAATTATAAGTAATTAAGCTCGTTAGATTAAAGTAACACGCTAACACACTGTAAAAACTTACCAAGAATCTTGACAGAGACATCTTTCCTGCCGATACGGAACATTGGTCTCTCACCAGAGACTTCGCAAGAATAAATAAAGTTACTTGTAGGTGGTTGATACGGCTCTAACAACAGATTACAAAAACCTTCCTGCCCTCGGTCTTTTGTTAAAGCGCAATTAACGCTTATTTTCTTCTCGGGTGTGTTGAATATCTCATTACGTGAATGTCCATGTTTCTGAAATATATTTGTTGTCATTGAAAACATGAAATATATGTCTATATGACGTGCTTTTAAAGATATTTATGCCTATGTCATTAATTTCGATAAAGCTAGACATGAAGATAAACCAAATAAATAAACGTATCTACTCCTTTATTTGTAATGTTAATTTTAAAAATTTGTAGCAAAACATTACAACTGGTATAAACGTGGATAAACAGTATGTCGGATGAAGTTCTACAAAAGCATACAAGAATTGAGGATCCAAAAGGATACGGTCAGTTACTCGTAAAGTACTCGAATAGAAAGATTGCTCACCTCATTGATGATTCAAAGAGGAACCCGAAAAATTATCACTGACGATTCTCAACAATGGACTTTTTCTTTGAGGATATTTATAAAAAAAATACGAAGGTGATGAACTTTGAACTTGTTTGATATCGAAAATCAAATATACCAAATATCGAAACGGAGTTAATAAAAGTCCAAACAAACGTTATTCAACCCAAATTCAAGGGATTATCTGCGATATATATCTGTGTAACCAAGGTTTTCTTTACAAAAAGCTTTCCAGTCTGTTAAATAAATAAAAAGGGACCAAGGACTCGTATAACGACGAAATTAATTGCTTCGCCGGGCTATTCATAATAAAAATTACTTCTACACGAAATGTATTTCGTCGTACTAACCCAAAGAGATAAGTCCACTAGTTTATATAACAGCTAAAAGATTACTTTCGAGCTCTGGAGTACTTTCGGTGAATTAGATGAGTCATATATTTATTTAATTATTTACCAATAAAAATAAAAAATAAAAAAACAAAAAAATGTGTTTTATTGTCCCTATTTACACAGCTGTAATTTTAATAACTTGAATTAAAATTTGACTATCCATTTAATCAACTTGTCCAAACGACAAATGTATGTCAAAACCTATTTTACCTTTTATTCAATAGAGCACATCTAAACATACCTCGGGTCTATAAATCATAAACTGTTGTCCATTGTTATATAATCTGACAGACTGTAATGTGTCGTTGTCCAGTGTTTGCCAGTTACACATCACCTTCCATCCGAGGTCTGGTTTATATTCACTCGTTATATTCACTTCAATAGCACTTATTGAGGCCACTGTTGATGAAAATCATGTTATTAGTTAATTTGTACAGTCAACAATTAACAATATTTTATATCCGAAAATTATCTAATTCAAATAATGTAAATGTTTCTATAGATATATTTTTTGTTTAGAACAATAGTACCTATCAGTAATTCGATTTACTTTGTAAAAATTTTTGCTTAAAACCTTATAAATTAGTTGAAATAAACCCTCTATGAAAATACTGTTTCATCCGTTGCATTTTACTCTATTCCTTATCTCATGCAATCATTCCACAGTAAACGTTTTTGCCAGACTAATAAACAAACATTATTTACGCCATGACAGGCTTTACATAAGCAAATGGTTTTTGCTACGCGAGTGAATTAAACAATTAATTATGCAAATGTAAGTAAACCCGAGCACTGTTGGTTCAAGATTCATATCAAATAAATTATCAGTTTTAATTCTATGGTGTATACAGAATTTTCTATTGATATTTCAGTAAAGTAAAGGTTTATCTAAAGAGTAACGCTAGGAAAGATAACTAATAGAAGAAAGGTTTCGATAAAACTCACTTAATGTCCCTATAACTCACATTACATTTTAATACATTAGCAGAACATAAAGCGTACTTAAAATATATATAAATTAAGTACCTAACTAGTAATTACAAAAACTTAAATACCGTTCTAAATAACACAATGTAAACTTTATGGTGTTTAAATGTCCTGGCCCAGTTATGCTTTAATTTTTTTAAACTAGACAAATTATGAAACTAGCGAGGGGAACACAGTTATAATTCATATTTTTTTTATAGCGCGACTAGTTTGTTTTGACCATATTAATTTGTGAGCGTTGTTTTGATATGTACTCGTAGAATGTAATGATATATTTATTAATATTTATAGTACGTTCGTCTATATTTAAATAGTATCTTTAATGAAGGGAACTTGTGCAATAAGATTTGAGTTACAGTTTTTGGTTTGCTATTTTTTCTATCAAATCAAATATAATTTATGTCAAAATTAGTAAAATGATATGTAAAAATTAGCAGAACCGCATTAAATTATGTTGGAGTACTTTAAAATATTATGTGTTATTTTGAATTATCGTTCAACACTTTAATAAAATTACATAATTCTTATGAGAAGAGATCTCTTTTAGAGATAAGTCCGCCTTTTGTGTATGTTTTTTTCTATTATGTTTTTTTCTGTTTTGTTTTTTTTGTGCAATAAAGGATATATATATATATATATGAGAATAACAAATTTAACTAGCAAATTAACTATATTTATGGCTCTTGTTTTACAACCTTGACATTTATTATCAGAATCATATGTTCGGTTATCTAACCAAGAAACTTTATGCTTGTCTAACATAATTTATCTATATTTATTATACTTATTTTTTTAGTTCATCTTAAAGGTATTATACAAAGTTAAAAGTATCATGATCTTTTAAACAGTCGAGAGCCGCTCTTCATTCATGGATACTTTGTTCTCCATACACTAATATCCTCAATTGTTAAGACGCTCGCGCTCTAATACTTTAATAAACATCATTTAGTACACTTGTGATGCAGGCGATTGTCTAATAACACGTTATGAAACGTTTATTAAACTTAACCAATATAAAATATACTGCAATTAATGAATTTAGCTGTTTTTTCTTTAAATTTTGTCAAACATATAATAATTTTAAACTAGTATGATTATCTCAAAAACATATTTGATAGAAAAGACTCGTAAGATCCTAAAATATATACCTAAAATTTGCTTTGGATATGACAGGATTAAGTGTTTAAATTTAACATAATATGTGTTTTTTTAACACAAATATATATCGTAACGCTACATATACGTGTTTTTTCAAAGATTTATATTAATATCTAAATGAAACTAATATTTTCAGATTACTAAGCGTATTTTATGTGTCGAGCATCTCGTCTGTCCGTGACCGCGTTTGCTGCAATAATAACCGAAACGTCGGAAATATGTAGTTTTTAAAAAATATTAAAAAAGCCATAGTAAGTCTTAGATCTCATTATGTTAATATCGTAACTTATGAAGATGACTACAAACTGCCGATGATACATATCTAGTGTAACAATTCCAACTTATAGTAAGGAAGCAGTACCATTATAACAACTTTTATTTCACTTTGATATATTCCAGTGGGAAATTAGAAACTACTTGTGTATACTTTGACGAAGCAAATTCATGTAAGGATATATTGAGTGCAACTTTGACAGTTTTCATGTTATTAATTCTTAAACCACGAATTATATTGCCAAAAATTCGTGTGGTAAAGATTTTTATACTAAAAGTATAAAGTACATAATATTTAAGTGTTTTAATTATATCATAATGGTTAAAGTTGGTAAGAACTTATCTTAAACAAAATCTGAATTCAATCAGTGAACTTTGTATTGATTATTATGCCAACAATATCGCGAGTTCAAAGTATACTAGTAGTCAAAAGATTAAAAGGAAATATGTTATTAACTTCGCCTTATGTAGAAATAAAGTCTTCAATATTTAACTTGCCATTTTAACGAACTTTCTTAAGGTCAATTTAAATGGAAACTCTAAGGCAAAAATTATAGTTAAATCTCTTTATAATTAAGAAGAATGATTATTCTTTGAAATAGTTTGTATAGTTGTAATGAAGGAACGAAAGGTCTCACTAAAACCTTCTATTTGGAGCGTAATACTCAACAAATTTGTCAATTTTTATAGCAATTTTCTTCATTTTGCTTCTCCCAAAATATAGTCTTATTCATGTGAAGTCCGTTATTAATCTAATATATTTTTATTATCATTCACAAAGCTAAGTGCAATTATTATGGCCTTTATGTAAGCTCCGGTTCTTTAGTAATTGGTTTCAATTGAGAATAATTAAAGAGACATCTGCACTTCATGTCTTTGATGGAAAATATTAAATATGCAAGGGGTCTAGGGGAGGATTTAGGGAGGATACTTGACATTGCATTTGAATAATTAATAGTTACCGTTTAAAATTTCAGATAGCCCTTAAAATGTTCCTATCGAGAGCGGTAAAAGTTTTCTACTTCGGGATATTTTTATGAAATTTTAAATGGCTTAAGTGTTTAGTTTTTAGTTTGTTAGTGTTAATTTTATTTACTGATACGTAGAGGTTGTTAAACAATTGTTTGTAATGCAACACTTTTGACCAGATACCTACCATATTAACGATCATGCAACTTAAGTTATCATTTGTTTTATAATTGGTACAAATAAAAGATTTAAGTATAAATATTGGAATCTTGTAAGGATCTCACTATGGGAAATCTACTGTTAGCATATATTACTTTTGAATTCGAATTTTGCACTAAATTTAAGATGGTTAGTATGGTACCATATTCATCATATAAAGTATATAATAATTAAGAGCATCAAATAAATTTTAAGTCAATTCATCCATTACCTAATAGCAGCCATGTTATTTTAGTGTAACTCATCACAAATCCGTCACGGTTAAGTTATATACAAATAGAACAATAACAAAAAACTAAACAGCACGTCCACTTTACGATTCAGTTTTTACTAAACTGCCTCCCTTGATACCGGCGCGCGCGCATACAATGGTATAATTCATATGGAGGAAGCGTGTGCGGGATTATTATAAATAAAGCGAGAAACGCTATTTGAATTAAGATGAATTAATAGTCATAGGGATTTTATTAATATTATGCCATTATTTTAATGGAATGAAATTTGTTATTTCCGTACTTAATGATCAATACTCTTCGACAATAAGTTATTATTTTTTTATAGTTATTATTTTTACATTACCATGAGTCTTTGACCAAGTCTTTTCGTTTAAAATCTTAATCGTCTGAAATCACCAAAAGAAACCAACATTGTTACATTTTATAGAGGCCCTTTTAATATTTAGTATCGAAACCAGAAATCAAAATTCCAAGATCTTATTGATCTCAAAAATAAATTTATAAATTTATATGGACACATGTAATATGCCATTGGTACTGTGTTTTATAAAATTTACGGCCAATTGGTTTTCCTTTTGAATATTTAAATACATGACATATAATGATAAAACTGTGTGGTAATAAATTATTCTATTTAAATTTAAAATTGTGGCAACCATATATCGTTTAATATCAGTTTAATACGACCACAATTAATACGATTTCACTCACTGTTAACGACTTTGCATATCCAACGGATTTTGACACAAACGAGTCATTTTATTAGGGATTTCGTGCCATTTTAATATAACTGCAAATATGAATTTTATTATAATGCAGTAAAGTCTATTTTATGTCTCTAAAGAACTTAAATTATTCGAAATTGTTAAAAATGAGTGCACGTTTATTTAGTAAGTGCGTTGTAATAAATCCGAACCCTCAAAAATAATTGTACTTAATAGATATCATTAAAGGAAATGCTCTTTTGAGTATGAATATATTAATATACATATATTTTGTTTTTACCATGTTTTATTTTTTATTGTCATTTCGAATGTATATTAAGATAAATTTAAAAATATACACTTTATGTCGTTGATGATCTAACAAAATTATTAAATTTGGTAAACATCACTTTAAAATTTTCAATTTATATGAAATGTCTTAGAAACTTTAATATGTTATAAGATATAAAAAACTTTAGATACTACATAGTTTGCATGTTGAGGATGGAAAATTGAAAAACTATAAAGTAGATATATATTCATTACCCCATGACCCGTCAGTTAAAACTTTTTCCATTATAAGTTTTATATGTAATATTATATAAACATGTTTATCAAATAGGTTTTCAATATCACAACTTTGTTTTTTACTTTATAAGGATTTCCTGTAACAAGGAGATAGTTGTTGAGGTGAAACAAACATACAATATATTTACTTATTAAATATTAAAACATTTTATTACTAAAATTCATTTCATATATAAAAAATTTAATGATCATAGCCATACATTTTTATAAGATATAAGACTAAGGAAGCTGAAATAACTTATCTATATTCTTTTGTTACGAAACGTCTGGAAGTGAGATTAGCTGAAAGAAGACTAGTTAAATATTAGCCCGAGACACATTCACCTTACTCTTAAAAGAACTTTTAATAACACAGGATCTTTGATAAGTTTTCTTAGGGTATAAAGTTGAGATTCATTTTAGATTTTCTTTTTATTCTGGATACTGTAATATAAATTTTGATGAATTCATATAGTCATTTGGAGACTTAAAACATCTGGTATTAAAGTTTTAAAATAAACATCTCGTGTACCTACATTAGGTTTGTTAAATAAGGGACTATACCTTCTTCATATATTGGTTTGTTTTGTAAATATTAAAGACACCAAAAATATTGTTAAGTACCATATAGGACTGTGCAGATTTTTAACTGTATTTGGTATCTAAAATTCGAACTAAAGAAATAGAAAGTATTTGCAAGTCTTTTTTTATATGCTGCAGGTTTAATAGCTACTAAATAACCCTTTGTATATTAATTAGTCTCAAGTTGTCTGGACCATTGATTACTATCAAGACCAGCTTGACAGAACCAAATGGCTATTAATTTAGATTCGTTGGAATGCTTTTGATATGACTTACTCAGGAAGTCGAGCTTGTTTGAGTCACTTTTCCTTTTGACTTCAGAGCTATAACAGATAAGATATTGCTATACTAAGCTATAATTCTGAAGGTATTTCATAAGAACATTAAAATGAAGTTTATAATTAAAGGAGACTGATTCTGATAACGCTCTATAGAGCAAAGGAATTAAGCTGGTTATTATGGGACGATTCTTAAATGCAATTTATCCTCATTAAATAAAATGTCGTCGCAAATTAATCACTTTTGGTCCATTAACAACGGAATTACTAGGCATAGACGTTTTAACTTTAGAAGGCACAGTTACATTTTGACATCTGTTTCTTATCTTTAACAGTTTAAAGTTGAAAATTCTATGGAAATTACATTTTGTTTAAATTTATTCACAAAATGTTCGCTAATTTTACTGCTTATCTGTCCATTATTAAGTTGGTAAGCCCATTTTTAAATGCAATTTGTTAACGTTGAAAGAATTATAGCACTTTGTTTCTAATGGGCGAAATGAAATAATTTTGTTTTTATAATTTGTTCAAATATTCACTTGAAAAGATTTACGAAACAAATCTTCAATTGACTTTTAATATTTCTAATATTTAATTAATAAAAAATATTATTTAATGCATATAATGATAATTTTAAACGATATCTATCCCACATATACAGTTAATGGAATTGGTTTATTTATAATTAATAGATTATTTTCAATAAAACCATTTCGTAACCGCAAATGGCCAATGATCGCGACGTTAGCGGTAACCTGATTGTTAACATTTCCGAATATCAAAGTGCTGATATCAATTTACTGTGTGATCCCTCAGCCATCAGATTACTTTGTCATTTTACTTAAATGGCGTAACCTATTAGGATCAATCCGTTCGTTTACGTGATATGGGTCAATAATTTGATTTTATTTTCATTTTCAGTATATGAAACTTCTTATGTCATGTTCTCAGATCGCTGTTAAATAAGACGCTTTATTGCTTTATAAAATTCTGTTTGTACATATGTGAATTAAAGTAATTTTTTTAAAAAATCTTTATCTTTATACATTCCATATATGTTACTAAAGATTTGTTCATTGTGTTTTTTCTACTACTATATCAAGTGATAGAATCATTTACACGTGTTTTATATCTATTAGCTTTCAATATCTATCCATACATATATTTTAAGCTCCACACCGCGGTTCAACTTCGTTAGCTATAATGGAGGCACGTTTTTAAGCCGATCAAATATGCTTTGATGTTAGTGATATATCGAGCTTAGTCTGTCTGTAAATAGGATTAATCATTGCCAAAAAAATCTCTATAAAAATATTGCCTGACAAACAATAAGCTATAGATTTTTTTTATTAAGAACCAAATGCTTACGAAATAGTATAGCTGTATGTCTTTATTTGTAATAAATATAAAAGAATTGTGGCTAAAAATAACTGAAAAGTAATTTGCTTTAAATTTACTTACACTTAAAGAGAATTGCATAAGAAAAGTAGAATTGGAATTTGTAAGTGTGAAAGAAGTATAAAATAACTTTTAGGGAAAATGTTCTTGGAAACTTGAAGAGATTTTTGTTACTGAACGTTTATGAAATCATATCAAATTATACTTGAGAGGAGAATTTGAATAGTAACTCTATCAGGGGTGAAGGGTAAATTAAATGTTAATAGATAAATAATAAAAATTACTTCTTTATAAAACACTACCATATTATTTGTGTATGTTAGAAAAAATATATAAAATATATTCAGAAAAAAGGTATTCATAGAATATAATTCAAAGGAGTTTATTTTAAGAAAGAAAAAATTCTTAAACGCAAAAAGATTATGGAAATAAAAACACTGAAATGTGTTACACACATTTATATTATTTATTTCATATAATAGGAAGTGGATATTAAAAAGGTAATATATTTCTGTGTTATATAAGGGTTTACACAAGCGACATTTCAAATGCCCTTCCAGAAATTTTTCCAGTCCAATAATGAAGTGCACGTCTCTCAGTACGATGATAAAATAGAATCCGTGAGAATCCCGGAAAATCTCGGAAAAGTAGAATGAAAAAGCTCGGAACTAAGTAAACTAGATGATTTATACATTTTATTATATATTAAGACACAAATGACATGTGGTTTAAGCAATCGACAATTTATTTGCGAAAAATTATGATATTTTCAATTATATATAAAACTTGTTTTCTACAAATTAACTAACTGCTTTGAAATATAGGTTACTTATCAAAATTGATTTTCTATTCCATGGGTAAAGCAAAGGCAATATTATATGAGAATTCTCGTGAGAATTCCCTCAAAACAGGCATGGCAGTTGTAGGCATAGCGTAGCAAATTCACTAAGCACTAGTTCTTGTTTAGAAGCCTGGACGCTTGAATATCTAAAATAGTGATTGTAGTAATGTTTAAGAATCTTTCAGTAGTATATTCAAAAAATATTTATTTCATTTAAATGAATAAAACACGCGAAAGTCACAGATCTCATTACCTTTCATTAGATTTCAATACACTGTGCTTTCTAAAATCAAGCTACTATCATAAAGTCTAAGCAAGCTATTGTGTGCGATTGCAATTTTTGATACAAACTATTTTCCACTACATGTAGATTTATATAGGAACATCCACATTTATTAGAATCTTTTGCTAGATACGTTATATATTAATTTTAATAGAACGTAAGCCAGGGCTTTGAATTAAATTTATTTTCATTTTATAGTAGTCTCTTCTAGTGAACGCTTTGTTATTCTCAAAGCCACAGGTCTCAGAGGATGACGTCACAGCTAATAACTATTCAGAATTCGCCGCCATTCAATCTTTTATCGCTCTATTACAATACTAATGGCTAACTGAGATTGCCTTTGATTAATACAGAGTCCAATATTGAGATATATCGCATATATAGAGACAAAATTAGTAAGTAAGTATAGTTGATTGGTTTGTATATACATTATATATGTTTCAAATAAGTAGATTGATGGTGAAAATTGTTTTGCTTATATTATTAAATAGATATTAATTTTAGAAGGCAAAAGTCTATAGCTTTTTGTGGTAGGATTTGGGCTAAATACTGTATAATATATAAGCAATTCATAAACTTATTCCGCCTTCAATAGTCTTTGTTAGGTTTTAAGAATTCGCGACATGTATCCCATTGTTGCTATACAAAGGAAGTTTGCGGAATTAGAGTTGCTTTCAAAATGTAAGAGGTATCCGTTGTCTTCATCCTTTGAGGATGTATGAAGAGAATTTATTATGTTATTATAATAGTATTAATATAGTGTTATTGAAAAATTAAATGACGATTTATGGAACTAATAAGTCAAGTATTTATATTTTTAAGTATACGTATCAAAAGGAAAGATTTTGATGAAGAAATTTAATAGGAACTGTTTAATTTGAAGCTATTATTAATTTTTTTTTTTACTGAGTCGAAAGCATAAGTGGCTTTTCATTCTAATTCAAAGTAACTCAACTATTTTGGTATTACTTTTTAATTTTCACATAATACTCAAATTATTTTAAACGGACTTTAAATGGGTAACTGTTTGTCGTAGGCAAATAGAACGTAAAGCACACATTATCGCTTTTGAACATCTACATATGTATATAGAAAAATATTTAACTCGATAAAATGATTTGTAAAATAACCCTAAGTACACAAGAACTGGCTTCAACGTCAGCATGAAAGATCTTTGAATGTTCCCCTGTATAAAGGAGAGTTTACATCAGATATATTTGACGTATGTAAGAGATAAAAGAAAGCACGATGTGAGATTAATAATAATAATAAAAATAAAACTATATTAAACATGTAGTATTTTAGCAAAAAACTAAAAAATGTGTGTTTAAAATGAGCTTGAATAAAATGTAATATTAATGAGATCTAAGACTATACAATGATAGTATGGTAAAACTATGGTAGTACGCCAGAAAATTAAGAAATCGTTGATAGATGATGAATAACCAAATGACAGAAATTCACATCTCGTCTGTCCGTAATCACGATTGCTGAAAATCGGGAGTATGTGGTTTAAAATTGTAAAATTGGTTGGTTTTATTTCAAGTGAAATATTTATTATGTAAACGGTCTGTGAGCAACATCGCTGTGCTGCGTATATCAATATCTAATATCAATATAACATCCAC